GTAAGTCAGCACTAGTGATTATGTATTGTTGTGAATTTTGTAGCCTGAGGCGGGTGGGGGAGGGAAGGGATGCTGAAGCAGCAGTGTCTGCATGAACATTTGTGTTAGGGATCCCAAGGCCCACCCCTACCCCAGTGTGGACACTGTGTGGTGTAATTCACCCTCCTGAGTGAACCTTTACCACGAGTATCAGAATTATTGCTGGAAGCGTCTCTCACCACAAAATGGTGAATTCCCAGAAGGCAGGAACTATGTGGTTATCCTCCTGGCATCCTGGGCAGCAAGCAAGCACCTGACCCTGAGCACAATGAGCATTTGAATGAAAGAGTGGGTGAAGAGATGTAAGCAAAAATAATCACATTCATTGGCACCTTTCTGGAACTTTTAAAACTGTTTAAGGAAAAATTAAGGGACCTCTTATTTATCATTTTCTTCTTGTTAACTAACCATCTGGTTCATGGATGTGCGTTTTTGTTGGGTAGTTGGTAAGGAAGACATGCATTATCACAGAGCTCCAGCTAACCAGACCTCCCACCATCTTCTACCTGAGTGATGAGTAGCCTATTTTGCATGAAGGTCAATTTAAGAAGTGGAAATAAATTTGGCTGGGGAGGGGAGGTGGATCTATGATTCTTTTTTGTTTTTGTATTCAAAACTCCTAAGAATTATTTCAACTTAAACTACCTACTTACCATATTTAATAATAGAATGTCAGAGAGAAAAATAACACTGCCTTTTAGCCACTAAACTTTTAATGTGGGCATGTTTGAGCAGTAAATATTGGTAGCTTTTTGTTCATGTCTTGAATTTATATAGCACTAGAGAGTCCAACAATGAGTCATTTCTGATTTCAGCCACCAGTTTAGAGGCAGATAATCGTATCATGTCCCTTGACAGATGGTGATATGGAGACTTAAATGAGCTGGGTCTAAGAAACATAGAGTCAAATTCATTATATTTAATGCAGCGTCCCCGGAGTGCCTGCCCTGTGCCAGGGAGATGGGTGAGTGAGGTGGGCTGCTTTCCCATGGTATCCTCCATCTCCTGTAGATACAGACTCTCCTGCTTGGTCAGAGCACAGCAAACCACTGGAAACCGAACAACCCCACACACTGGGTTCCCTCCAAGGCCAGGTGGCACTATGTCCCACAGGACTGTTCCCCCAGTCTCTATAATTAAGGCTGCCTAGCCCTGTCTAAGCTCAAATGCATGAGGAATGCTTTATAATTTTATTTATGTATAGATCCTGATGTATGTACACACATGATCACATGCATGTTTAGTACTTTTTTCTTTTCCTTTTGCGTTTACCTCTTCCCCTTCTCCCTCCCTAATGTCTCCTTCCTTATTTTTCTTTATATATGCATATCCTATACAGATCCATATATTATTTACTAATAATGAGATCATACACACTTTTCTGAAATTTGCTTTTCTCCAAAGAAACTGAACAGTTCCTCCAGAAATCCTTCTAGGTCATCTGGCAGTGTTCCAAAATATCCTTTTAATGGCTGCATAATACTCCCTGAAGTGATCATATATTATTTACCTGGCCATTCTCCTATATATAGGTATCCCCTTGTTTCCAGGTTTTTGCCATACTAAATAATACTGTACTAAAACACATCCTAATACATATGACTTTACATATTAATACTTTTAGTTCTACAGAATAGATTTCCATGTGTGGAATTCCTGATTAACTCTATTATTAATTAGGTAGAAATTGCCATATTGCTTTCCTAAAAGTCTTCACTTCTCTACTAGTAATGCATCTTTTCTCTGCCTCCCTTCTAGCTTTGGCTGACAGACCTCTTCATTCTTGTTAGTGATGAATCTAAAATGAGACCTTATTGTTACTTTCGTAGCACTTCCCTGAATGTAAGTAATGTTATGCATCTTTTCACAAGTGTCCTGGCCATTTGATTTTGCCCTTAGGTTCTTTGCCTACTCATAATTCTTGCCCACTTTTTTTTTTTTTTAATCCTCACCCGAGGATATTTTTCTATCATCAGATAGAGTGGGAGGAAGGGAGAGAAAGAGAGAAAAACATCATGTGAGAGACACACATTGACTGGTTCCCTCTCGCATGACCCGACCAAGGCCAGGGATGAACTGCAACCGAGACACCGCAACCTTGACCAGAATCAAACCCACGATTCATTGGTCCACAGGCCGAGGCTCAAACCAGCCAAAGATGTTGGGTTGTTTGTCTCTTGCTTGTAAGTTTGTATGAGTTCTATATGTACTAGGGTTGTGGTTGAAGATTCTGAGACTTCATTTCCAAGCCAAGATGGTTGACTGGAGGCTTCTCTCCCTCTGCAATTACAGGGGCAGTTGAAATGAGCTCAGGGGTTGTTTAGCAGAGAGAGGCAATCCGTTATGACCTGCAGCCACAGACTGCTGGTCACTCTTTAACTACTGAGTCTGAACAGAAAATTGTATTGATCCAGAATGCAGCTGTGTGCGGAGGACTGAGAAGGTGAGGCAGTTCTGTACCATGCTGCCTTCCACTGGTTAAGACCTCCAAGAGCAAAGGCCTACCAAGGTAGAGGATGTCCCTCTGTCACCCGTGGAGGGGCAGCACTGAGCTGGCTGACATTTGTGGTGCTGCTTCTCCCTGGCTCAGGTGAGGCATTCCACTAAGTTAAAGGATTAAAATATCTAAACCAGTGCTTCTCATCCTTGTTTCCACCTTAACTCTTTCTTTTTTAATCCTCACCTAAGGATATGTTTATTGATTTTAGAGAGAGGAAGGATGAGAGAGAGAAACATCGATCTGTTTTCTCCCATACGCACTGGGATTGAACCCACAGCCTGGGTATGTGCCCTGACTGGGAACCGAACCTGCAACCTTTTCGTGTATGGACAACGCTCCAACTGAGCCATCCGGCCAGGGCTCCACTTAACTCCTGTAACAGATGGCATTCATGTTAGTGGCACTCCTCTAGGCATCCCAGGTTTTGAAGAAACCCAGAGACCTCTTGCAGGGAGGTAACGCATGACAGTAATTGGTCACCTCTGGCTCTTTTAGGAGTACATCAGGAATGATTACCCTTAGAAGACTTTGGCACAGGTAAGACAGTCTGCTGGTTATGTGCAATTTTCAACCCCCAGTTCAAGAAAGCATATCAGAACACACAGTGATAGTCTTTATATTATAGAAAAACTTTAAATCTCTTCATATATGAAATAAAAACAGGGGTTCATTATACCATTCAGTCCGCTTTTGTGTATGTCCAATGATTTTTAAAAAGGAGCTATGAAAATATAAGATTCAAATGTAGAAGGATATAAAATTGTAAAAAGGAAAAAGAGATGTAGAAATAATTTTAAGGTAAAGATGGATAACAAAAAACATTTCTAAGACTAAAATCTGGTTCTTTTTACTAACTATAATGTGTACTAGCCATTTAAAAAATTATCCTTGAAGGTCACGTGTGACTCCCCTCCTCATTCCCCAACTCCCACTTTGGGGACTTTAGTAGCTTAATAAATTTCTTGGGGGAAATCTAGCCTTTAATTTTTAAAAATCATTTATACTCATGAATAACCATATTCAAATCAATGCCTAATGTATCAGAAGATATGTAACTGGATATTTCTTTTATTAGAAGAGGTCTGATATTTATCTTGTTTGCTGATTCTTGTAAATTATCTTTTTTCAAAATGTGAGAGATATATTAAATGTCATACCTGATCCTAATGATCTTGTTTGATGGGAAGAGGAATAATGGGGTTTAGAAAGCGGTAATTCAGCATGGCCAGTGTGGCTCAGTGGATTGAGGTCCTGGTTCGACTCCCAGTCAGGACACATGCCCAGGTTGCAGGCTCGGTCCCCAGTGTTGGGGCATGCAGAAGGCAGCCAATTGATGTTTTTCTCTCACATCGACGTTTCTAACTCTCCCTTCCTCTCTCTCTAAAAAATCAATAAAAACATATTTAAAAAAGAAAGAAAGTGGTAATTCTTCTGTAACAAGGCTATCAGCAAATCTTTAAGTAGCCCTGGTTAGATTGTTGGCCCAAGGACGAGAGTCACGGGTTTGATTCCTGGTCAAGGGCATGTACCTCAGTTGTGGGTTCGATCCCCAGCCCTGGTTGAGGTCATACAAGAGGCAACCAATTGATGTGTCTCTCTCACATCGATGTTTCTCTCTCTCCCTCCCTCCCTCCTACTCTAAGAAAAATATCCTCGGGTGAGGATTTAAAAAAAATAAAATAAAATATAATCTTGAAGTAAGTTCTATTGATATAGCAACTTGTTTCCTGATCTCATCCTTGTCTTCTGTTATTCCTGGTTGCGTTTAATAAGAGTGATTCTGAAACTTGATCATCTCACTGCTGCTAGTTCAAAACCTGACAGTAGGAGTGGGCATTAGCTATCTCACTGTACATCATTCTCCCACCGTGGCCTTGAGTTTCACCCTGAAATAAGTTCTCAGATGAGTTTCAAGAATCTGTTGTGTGTTCTCTTATTATCTTTAACTCCCAAAGCAAGTCTATCTAGAATCACCCATCGGGTCCTTTGTGAGGTTATTTCCTAAGGAATAAACTTCACCTTTTCTATCCCCCCTTATGTGATAGATTAATGCTGTGGTAAATGGTTTACCTAATAGAAAAGACTTAGCAATGATAGCCTCTGTGTTTTGTTTGGATCCCTTTAACACAGATATTTTGTTGGACAAAGCAAGAAGCTATTATTTTTCTTCCTTAATTAAAAGTATTGACCAAGCTATGTATCTTGCAAATATATGTGTAGAGGGTGTCATTTATTTGGGATGAGCAATATAGAAAGTTAATTTTGTTTTATGACTCAAGCACCTATTAGAGGGTCTGAAAAAATGAACACCAGAAGGACATGGTGTTAAACAGTATTTCTAGTATCTATCTTTAAGGCTGTTTAATTGAATTTATTTTATTCAGCTGCCTGTCCTCTGAATTCACTCCTAGCACTGCTGATCGTTCCTCAGAACTCAGGGCCAATGCTGCAGTGTTTCTACCCGAGCACCTGGGTTGGCTGGAAACCCTGAGGCAATGACAACCACGACCTCAACACCCTCAGGACATGGCCCACCATCTAATTTAAAGGTAAAAGTTTAGAAAGCTGCTTTTTCCTAAATGTGCAAATTTTTAAAAACATTTTAATGGCTTTTAATACTGTCAATTCTCTCATAAACATTGTTCTTAAAATCACAAAATGATACACCTGAAGCGAATGCAAAATAATATGGACTATTAAATATGGAATGTAATTGAAAAATAAAATTTTAAGTTCTTTTTGAAAAATCACAAAACAAAAATACTTTTATCTTGAAAACAGTACCCTATCGAAATCTTTTAAAAGGCTATTCACTACTGGCACTTTCATCCCTAAAGTTTAAGAAAATAACTTCTCACTCCTAAAACTTTATTTTCTGCTTATTTCTAAACTTTACAATACTGAGAGGACAATACAAAAGGGAACCTTGCTCTCATTCTGAAGAGAAAAGACAATAACTTTTTTGTAGGAGAGCAGAGGAGACTAATTAAAACTAATGTATACAGTGGACTTCCAGTCAAAATGGAGGAGTAGGTGAAAGCTGTGTGCACCCCCTGTCATAACTACAGCAGAATTACAACTAAATTATACAACCATCACTGAAAACCATCTACAGACTAGCTGAACAGAAGTCCTATCACTAAAGATATAAAGAAGAACCCACAATGAGACTGGTAGGAGGGGCAGAGACATGAAACAGGCAGGTCCCACACAAACAGTGTGGCAATTAAGAATCTGGAAAAGTATCCCAGCTGCAAAGGTCTCCTCTGAGGAGCGAGGAGTCCCAGCCACTCAGTAGGCCCCGCAGCCAGGGGCACCAGTCCAAGGAAGAGGAGACTCCACAATATCTCGCTGTGGAAACCAGTAGGGACTGCATCCAAGTGAGACAGGGCTACTGGAGACTCAGGCATCCTCTCAAAGGGCACATGCACAGATTCACTCACTCATGAATTCACTGGCTCTGGGCTCCAGCACAGGAGCAGCAGCTTGAAAAGAGCCAGAGACATACAGGGAGAAACAAAAATGACTAGCTTCAGGGCAAGGGCTAGAGGGTCAGGAGTCAGGGCAGCTCTCTCCAGGATGAAAGTGTTGGCAGGCACCGTTGTTCCTTTGTTGAGCACTCCTCCTAACCCAGCCTGCAGGTGCAGGCAGGCACCAAATCTGGCTAATACTGCCCAGCTCTGGTTGTTCCCACCCAAGTAACATCCAGTGGGTTTTCCACATGAGTGGGCTGCCTCACCCCATGCTTTGGACTTTCCTAAAATCTTTCAAAGATCCACAAACCCCAAACAAGCAGCAACTGAGCTCACATGCCCTGTACCTCTTGCTAAGTGGCCCCAAGCCTGGCACTAGCAGTGACTGGTCACAACTTGCATTGTAACTCCCCATCAGGTGACTCCAAAACTGCCATAAGATGCAGCCAGTCTTGGCTTGGAACTTAGCTTCAGCTAAGCAGCCACAAGCTCAGCACTAGTGGCAACTTGCCTCAGTTTACAGCATAGCCTCTCCCAAGTATGTCCAAGCTCAGCACAAGTGGCAACCAACTGCAGATCACTTTGTAGCTCCCACAAGGCAGCTCCAAGACTGGCATAAATGGCAGCTAACCTTGGCCTGCACCAGAGTCCCTCCCAAGAGGCTCCAGAGCCAATACAAATGGTGGCTGGTTTCAAACCACACCAGAGAACCACCCAAGTAGTTCCACAAATGATACACCCAAAGGGCAGACTTGGCTTTCACCAAAGCCATGCTAAAATGACTCCCACTCCATAGGGTCAGCCCCTGCACAATAGCTTGTCCATTGTGGTCATGACCACCCCTCACAACCAGTCAGCCTGGGGGTCAATTCTACTCACTGATAAGCCAACAGCAATCATGGCTCAAGGAGGGCACACAAAACCCACACAAGGGACACTCCTGGAGTGCCGGGTCAGGTGACTAGGAAGATTGCACCACTGATCCCCACAGGACACCTACTACATAAGGCCACTATGACAAAACTGTGAGATGTAGCAGAGCTACCTAATACATAGAAACAAACACAGGGAGTCAGCTAACATGAGGAGACAAACATGTTCCAAATGGAAGCACAGAACAAAACTCCAGAAAGAGAACTAAATGGAATGGAGACAAATAATCTACCACATACAGAGTTCAAAGCATGGGTTATAAGGATACTCAGGGAACTTGGAGAAAGAATAGATGAACTCAATGAGAACTTCAACAAACAGATGAAAACCACAAAAAAGAACCAGTCAGAAATGAAGAATACACTAGAAGGAATCAACAGCATGTCAGATGAAATAGAGGATTGAATCAGCAATCTGGAAGAAAAGGTAGCAGAAAACACCCAATCGGAACAGTGAAAAGAAAAAAGAATTTTAAAAAATGAGGATAGTTTAAGGGACCTCTGGAAAACACCAAGCATACTAATGTTCGCATCAGAGGGGAATCAGAAGGAAAAGAGAAAGAGCAAGGGATTGAAAACCTACTTGAAAAAATAATGACTGAAAACTTCCCTAATCTGGTGAAGGAAATAGATATATAAGTCCAGGAAGAGCAGAGAGTCCCAAACAAGATGAATCCAAAGAGGCCCACACCGAAACACACCACAGTTAAAATGCCAAAGATGAAAGACAAACAGAAAATCTTGAAAGTAGCAATAGGCAGTTAGTTACATACAAAGGAGCATCCATAAGACTTGGAACGTAGATTGGAACATCAGCTGATTTCTCAACAGAAACTCTGCAGACCAGAAGGAACTGGCACAAAATTTTCAAACTGATGAAAAGAGAAAAAAACCTATAACTAAGATTATTCTACCAGCAAGGCTATCATTTAGAATGAAAGGAGAGAGAAAAGTTTCCCAGACAAGTAAGAGCTAAAGGAATTCATCACCACTAAACCAGTATTGTAAGATATGCAAAAAGGACTTCTTTAAGTAGAAAAGGAAAAATAAAAATATGAATAAAAAATATAGGAAAGAAAAATATTTTCACTGACAAAGGCAAACAATAAAAGCCATGGATCAACAAACTCTAAAGCTAGTACAAAGGTTAAAAGGCAAAAGTAGGAAGAACATGTGTATTTACAATAATAAATTAAGGGATACACACAAAAGAAGTAAAAAATAATGACAAATACAAAGGTTGAGGGGGTGAATAAAAATTGTAGTGATTTTAGAATGTATTTGAATTTAAGTGACCATCAACTTAAAACAGACAACTATAAACATAGCTTGATTAAACACATGGTAACCACAACTCAAAAATCTGTAAGAAGGAGAAAGGAATCCAAATACAACACTATAGAGAGTCATCAACATATAAGAGAATAAGAAATGAACAGAGAACTACAAAAACAATCAGAAAAATGGCAATAACTACATACCTATCAATAACTACTTTACATGTTAATGAACTGAATGCTCCAATGAAAAGACATAGCGTGTCTAAATGGATTAAAAAAGACCTCACCCTGGCCAGTTTGGCTCAGCGGTTAGAGCATCGGCCCACAGACCAAGGGGTCTCGAGTTTGATTCCTGGTCAAGCACACATGCCTGGGTTACAGGTTTGATCCCCAATCTGGGTCATGCAGGAGGCAACCAATCAATGTGTCTCTCTTACATTGATGTTTCTCTCTCTCTCTCTCAGGTGAAGATTAACAACAAAAAAATACCTGTACTTATGCTGCCTACAAGAGCCCCACTTTATATCAAAAGACATGAATGGACTGAAAGTAAAGGGATAGGAAAAGATATTTTATGCTAATAGAAATTTTTTAAAAGCTGGGGTAACAATACTTAGACAAAATGTACTTAAAATAAAGATTGTAACGAGATAAAGAAGGGAATTTCATAGTGATAAAGGTATCACTCCAACAAGAAAATATAACTCATAAACATCTATGCATCCAATGTAGGAGCACCTAAATATGTAAAGCAAATGTTGACAGACATAAAAGGAGAGAACAGTAATACAGTAATAATAGAGGACTTCAACACCCCTCTGACATCAATGGATAGGTCTTCCAAACAGAAAATCAACAAGGAAACAGTGGCCTTTAATGACACATTATACCAGATTGACTTTATTGATATTTTTAGTACAATTTACCCCAAAACAGCAGAGCACACATTCTTTTCAAGTGCACATGAAACATTCTTTTCCAGGTTAGACCATGTTAGGAAATACTACAAACAATTATATGCCAACAAATTAGACAACATAGAAGAAATAAATTTCTAGAAACATACAACCCTCCATGAATCAGGAAAAAAAAACAGAATATCTGAAGAGACTAATAACTACTAATGAAATTGAATCAGTAGTCAAAAAACTCCCAACAGGTAGAAATAACCCCATTGTAATGGGGGGCGGGGGGCACTCCCAACAAACAAAAGCCTTTGACCAGGTGGCTTCATGGGTGAATTTAGTCAAACATTCAAAGAAGAATTAATACCTAGCCTCAAACTAGTCCATAAAATTGAAGAAGGAAGGCTCCCAAGTTCATTTTATGATGCCAGCATTACCCTAATACCAAAACCAGACAAAGACACTATAAGAAAAGGAAATTATAAGTCAATATCCCTGGTGAACAGAAATGCTAAAATCCTCAACAAAATATTAGCAAACTGAATTCAGCAATACATTAAAAAGATCATATACCATGATCAAGTGGAATTTATTCCCAGGATGCAAGGTTGGTTTAATATCTGCAAATCAATTAATGTGATATACCACATAAATAAAATGAAGGATAAAAAATCATATGATCAATAGATGCAGAAAAAGCAACTGACAAAATCCAACATCCATTTATGATAAAAACTCTCAGCAAAGTGGGGATAGAGGGACCACCCCTCAACATAATAAAGGCCATATATGACAAAACTACAGCTAACAACATACTCAACAATGAAAAACTCACAGCTTTTTCCTTAAGATCAGGAACAAGACAAGGATGTCCACTGTCACCAGTTTTATTCAACATAGTACAGGAAGTCCTAGCCACAGTAATTGACATCCAAACTGTAATGGAAGAAGTAAAACTGTCATTATTTGCAGGTGATATGATGCTATGTACAGAGAACCCCAAGGATTCCACCAAACAACTATTAGAACTAATAACTGAATTCAGTAAAGTAACAGGATACAAAATTAAAAATTAATGTTCATAATTTTATTGCATTTTATACATCAATAATGAACTATCAGAAAGATAAATTAAGGAAAATTCCATTTACAATTGCATCAAAAAGAACAAAATACCTAGGAATAAATTTAATCAAGGAGGCAAAAGACCTTGGAAAATTATAAAACACTGAAAAAAAAAAACAAAAAAAAAAACTGAAGAAGATACAAATAAATGGAAGAATATACAGTCTTCATGGATTAACACCATTAAAATGTCCATACTACCCAAAGCAATCTACAGATTCAGTGCAATCTCTATCAAAATATTAATGGCATTAAAAAATTTTTTTTTCTTCACTGATTTTAGAAAGAGAGAAAGGGAGAAGGAGAAAGATAGAAACACCGATGATGAGAGAGAACATCGACTGGCTGCCTCCTACATGCCTCCCACTGGGGATCGGGCCCACAACCTGGGCATGTGCCCTAACCAGGAATCAAACCAGCAACCTCTTGGTGCATGGGTGGACACTCAACCACTGGCCACACCAGTTGTGCTCTAATGGCATTTTTCACAGAATTAGAATAAATAATCCTAAAATTTACATGAAACCACCACAAAAGATCCCAAATAGCCAAAGTGATCTTGACAAAAATGAACAAAGTTGGAGGTATCACGTGACCAGATATCAAACTACACTACAAGGCTATAATAATCAAAACAGCGTGGTGCAGACATAAAAACAGACACATGGATCAATGGAACAGAATAGAGAACTCAGAAAGAAACCCATGTCTAGATGGTCAATTAAGATATGACAAAGGAGGCAAGAATATACAGTGGGGTAAAAACAATCTATTCAAAAAATGGTGTTGGGAAAACTGGAAAGATACATGGAAAAGAGAAACTGGATCACTTTCTTAGACTGTATACACAAATACAATCAAAATAGATTAAAGACTTAAATGTGAGACCTGAAACCATAAAACTCCTAGAAGAAAACATAGGCAGTAAACTTTTACATTGCTCTTAATAATTCTTTTTGGATATGTCTTCTTGGGCAAGGGAAACAAAAGAAAAATAAACACATGGGACTACGTCATACTGAAAACGTTTTGCATAGCAATGGAAATCATCAACAAAACAAAAAGACAATCTACTGAATGAGAGACGATAGTCATCAATGATACATCCAACAAGGGGTTAATACCCAAAATATATAAGGCACTTATACAAATTCAAACAGACACACACACGTGCCACATGGAAAACTAGACAGAGGACCTCAACAGACCTTTCTCCAAAAAGGATCTATACAGATGACCAACAGACATAGGAAACAGTGCTCAACATCACTAATCATAAGAAAAATGCAAATTAAAACCACAATGAGAGATCACCTCACACCTGTCAGAATGGGTATCATCATAAACAAACAACAAATGCTGATGAGAATGAGCAAAAGAAACCTTTGTACATTGTAGGTGGGATAGTAAATTGGTGCAGCCACTATGGAAAACATGGAGGTTCCTCAAAAAATTAAAAATAGAACTACCATATGACCCAGCAAAGAAATCCAAAACACTAATTCAAAAAGATATATGCATTCCTATGTTCACAGCAGCATTATTTACAATAGCCAAGATATGGAAGCAACCTAAGTGTCTGTCCATGGATGAATGGATAATGAAGAGGTGGTACATATATACAATAGAATATTACTCAGCCAGAAAAAAGAACGAAATTTTGCCATTTGTGACAACATGGATGGACCTAGGGGGTATTAATCTGAATTGTCAGAGAAAAACAAATACTATATGATTTCATATATATGTAGAATCTAAAGAACAAAATAAATGAACAAACAATGGAAACAAACTCATCAAAACAGAGAACATTTTGATGGTTCCCAGGAGGGAAGGGAGTTTGGGAGATGGTTGAAAAGGGGGGCGGAATTAAGATGTGCAAATTACCAGTTGTAAAAACAGTCACAGGGATATAAGGTACAGTATGGGGAATATAGTCAATAATACTGTAATTGTGTATGGTGTCAGGTGGGTACTAGACTCATCAGGGTGCTCACTTCCAAAGTTATATAAATGTCTACGCACTATGTTGAACACCTGAAAGTAGTATAATATTGTATGTCAACTATAATAGAAAAATAAATTTAAAAAATAATATATACATAGCTAATTATTTTCATATAAGTCTTTGCTTCCCATTTTTAGTATAAGTATTTGTTAGCTGGGGACCATTTGATTTCTAAAATAATTCTTAGTTAATAAAAGAGGGCTGGACATTTTTAACATCTTTTCCCCCTGAGGAATCAACAATTAATAATACTTAAAAAGAAACCCAGGTATTTACCCAAAACTAACCATAGGATTTTTATCTGTAGTAAAAGGAATGCATGCTTTCTTCACAGGCCAAGTATAATCATAAAGTTGTCTGAGCGTGCGTATATCTATCAACATAAAATTTCGTTGTTCTTACCCCTCAGAGAGGATGAGGAGCGACGAGCTGGCAGTGACCATGGAAGAGACCGGTGGGCAGGACGATGCGGCGGCGACGCAGGGCGGCCCTTTGCCCGGCCTGGCACCAGCACCTCCCGGCCGCCTTGGGGCGCCATATTCCGAAGCCTGGGGGTACTTCCACCTGGCCCCGGCGCGCCCGGGACAGCCGTCGGGCTACTGGGCCACCTGCCGGCTGTGCGGGGAGCAGGTGAGCCGAGGCCCGAGCTTCCGCGCGGGCACCCCGGCGCTGTGGAGGCACCTGAAGAGCGCGCACCGGCGGGAGCTGGAGAAGAGCGCCGCCCGCTGCTCCCCGCCCCCGGCCCCCGGCCCCGCCGCGGCCGCTGAGGGCGACTGGGCGCGCCTGCTGGAGCAGATGAGCGCGCTGGCCGTGCGGGGAAGCCTGCGAGAGCGCGAGCTGGCGCGGCGCGAGGCGGCCGTGGAGCAGGGCGAGCGCGTCCTGGAGCGGAGGCGAAGGGCCCTGCAGGAGGAGGAGCGCGCGGCGGCCCAGGCGCGGCGCGAGCTGCAGGCCGAGAGGGAGGCGCTGCAGGCACGGCTGCGGGAAGTGAGCCGTCGCGAAGGCGCCTTGGCCGCGGCCCCGCTGCAGACTCCGCTCAAGGAGGAGCCGGAGGGGGAGAGGGACGGCTACATTATCACTAAAGTCCACCTGTAGGTTTGGGCCGCTGCCGACGCCGCATGCCAGCGCTGCCCCACGTGTGGTCCGCGGACCAGCGTCTTCGGCCTCACCTGGGAGCTGAAGCTCAGGCCCGCTGCCTCCTGGTGAAGCGGACTCTCCAACGGGGGCCTTGAAAAAGCTTCGGAAGCCTGGGCAGAACCAAAAATCATTTCCACTCTGCGGTCGCCTGGGATGCCTGGGAGCGTGAGCTCCAGCGGCCCCCTTTGCCATTGGCGTTTGGTGGGCATCCGTGCAGGGAGAGGTTCTCCTCTAAACGCCTTGGGAAATGAGAACTCCAGCAGTCCCTTGAACCTGACTCACCTGAGGCCTTGTACCTGGTGACTGAACGGACAGAAGCTTCCTTACACACCAAAGACTACCACACCATGTGCCTGTGCACCACAGCCCAGGGTGGCAGGTCCATGGAAATAAGGGTAAAGCATTTTATCCAAAAAAAATTTTACACATTTCCTAATGAGTGAATCTTTGATGAGCAGCCTTTGCCCAGCACCAAGCTCCGAAAAAGGGGCCACTTGGTTTCTACGATTGCTCTTTACCCTCATCATCTCTTATGCCTGGACAGGACAATCCTGACAACTGTTTACTCCCCTCCCCAGTTTGCACCATATCAAGTGCACTGGTCTATTTCACCGCAGCCACCTTCTTTCCCATTCCAGACCAATGGCAGCTGTGGTCAATGTCCCCACTTTGTGCCTCACACCTGCCTCCTTACTAGCAAAATATGACCTCACCCTTCATTGCTAGGAAGGGCACTTCTTTCCCCACCTGTTTCCACGGTGCTTACTTCTAGGTCAAAGAAGCATCCTCCCACGAGGCAACCTTCTCTCATGTTTACATCCATTCCTTTGCCGCCTTTACTGGCTCTTTGCTCAATTATTTCCTTTTATTCCCTACTCCCTCCCTTTTCCCAGACATCCTCTTCCTCAGAAATACCTAGTATTCCTTGTACTGAAAAGAGCCTCCCTCAACCTGGACGCTTGCAACTGAACCACCATCCAAGGAGGGTCAAGTAGTTCTTGCTGCCCATACTTCCTCCCATTCTTTACTCCTTCACTCCACGGTCAGCTTTCTATGCTACACTGGACCGATAAGAAGCCACCACTATCTCCTAGTCGCTGAATGTGATTATTTATTCAGCCTTCATTTTACTTAATCTCTCCCTTCTTGAAATTTCTCCTTTGTAAGGTGGAACTTGCTTTTCCTCCAGAGAACTCCTTTTCCTGATATAGAGTGGTTCCCAAACAATTTTTCTTAGATTTTTTTTCTCATTTCTTATATACTGAAAAATTTCAAACATGCGAAAAATGTCAAAGGCTAGTACAATGAATACCCATGTATACCCTCCACCTAGACTGAACGATTGTTAACATTTTGCCATATTTACTTCTCTTTCCTCTACCCCATACATCCATGACATTTCATCCATTAGTTCAATATGTATCTCCCAAGAATAAAGACATTGTTCTACATTACAGTGCAATTATCATACCTAAGAATATAAACAATTTCCTAATAGTCTCTAATACAGAGTCCCCAACTGTCCCAAGAATGTCTTTTTATCTTTAAAAAAAAAACAAAAAAAAACAGGGTCAAAGTTAATATATTACTTTTGACTGTAACCCTTTCATAATATTTTAATCTACAACACCCCCCTTTACCATTTTTCCCCCATGACTTTTTTAAGAGTCCTAGCCATCTCTCTTATAGAATGTCCTATATCTGGATTTGTCTAATTGTTTTTTAAGCCAGTTTCTGCACTCATGAAGAGTTCAAATAATCACCTCTGTGCCAATGACTCCTAAACACTTCCAGCCTTTGGTCTTCTCCCCCTGCCCGTCCTTCATATCCAATCCCCTGCTCCAAGTTTACATCTCTACTTGCATAACTGCCACTGCAGATGGAAAGGGCAAATCTATTCTACTCCACATCCTCACCCCTCACCTTTACTGAACTCATACTTTACATGTATTCTTTCACTTTATTCTCATAGCACCTCCATGGGGAGGAATTAATACTATGCCTGTTTTACAACTTATGAAACTGACAAAGAGAGGAGTTAAGTAGCTTGTATAAGAACTGAGCTGTTAAGTAGCAGAGCTGAGATACAAATCCAGTCTTTACCTCCAGATGTCAGGCTCTTAGCTGCTGTACTGTCTCCTTTATTATTCAGTCGCCTGGCTGACACCTGTTTCCTTCCTAACTCCAATTCCAGATAGAACCATCAGTGACATTAAACATGCACTAAGCATTCACCATGTGCCAGGGCCATGCTAAATGCTTTACAAGAATAATTGCCTACCCCACAGCAACCTCATGACACAAATGTTCTTTTACCCACTTTGCAGAGGAAGACACTGGCTCAGGAGAGCTAAATAATGTCTTCAGAGTCACAAAACTACTAAGAGACAGAGTGGAACTTGAACTCCAGTGTCACTGAATCCTAGGCCCTTGGACTACTGAGTCTGCTTCTACAACATATCACATCTGCCCGGCCGGTGTGGCTTAGTGGACTGAATGTTGTCCCATGCACCAAGAGGTCACTGGTTTGATTCCCAGTTGGGGTACATGCCCAGGATGCAGGCTTGATCCCCAGCAGGAGGTGTGCAGGAGGCAGCCGATCGGTTTCTCTCTCATCCATGTTTCTATCTCTCCCTCTCCCTCTCTCTAAAATCAACAAAAACACACCTGTCTGCTTTTAGATGTCACCTATCAAGCCCAGGCCCCATGTATCACTCATCTGGGGTTCATCTTCCCAAGTTTGTCTTCCCCCAGTGTCCCCTGACACTCAACTTGCCCAGAAGAATTGTACTAAGCCAATGCTGATACCACTTTTCCTGCTCAAAAGCCCCCAAGATCACCTATCATCTATAAGCTTCAATTTTGTGGCCTGACATCCAAATCCACCTTGGCCAGTCTTAATTGTCTCTTCCCCTACACATTCTCCAGCCAAATTGAACTCCTTGTTCTTCCTGATATGCCCTAGTCCTGGTGCCTCTGTTCACCTTCCTTCCACTTAAAAAGTCCCTTTAATATCTGAATATAAAGAACCCACTCATTTTTCTAGGACCAAGTCCAAATGTGACTTCCTACATGAAGCTTTCCTTGGTTCTTCCTCATTTAGAGGCAATTCCTTACTTCTCTGGATTCTCTTAGCATTTATCTCTCACAACCCTTAGAACCGGCCATCTAGCTTTATGGCTATGTGGGTTCTTATCTCTCTTGCCAGACCCCTGGCCCTTGGAGTTCACTCATCCTTCTGCTCCCACAATGCCTTGCATAAAATAGCTGCTTAATAAATATTTGAGGCATCAAATTCATTCAAAGTGTTAAAGATTTTTACAGGTTTTCTCATAATTATTAATATAACTGTTTATCTTTAATTTTCTGAGAATTCATAACAGAAAAAATAGCCTAAAATGAAATTGCAGTAATGATTTTTTAAAGCTGTCTAGTCAATAAAAATGTAATAAGTATCAGTTATTGGGCTGCTTGGTTTGAATCCAATCAACTACTCTAGCATGTCATTATCAGAAATGGTTTCCTTCAAACTATTTTTTTCATTTCACAAGAAACACAAATGCAATGCCCCAATCTGGAAGGAACAGCTGAATAAAACAACTGCACAGTCCTGTCACCTTGGTAAAACTGCTAGTAACATGTTAATGTGTTTTATTCTTCTGCAATTTTTACATTCCTCTAATAATAGTCTAAGTTGTCTTAAGTATCAACATTTAACATTATGGACTTATAAGTTAGGCTGTAAGATCTAAATATGGACTTTTTAGCAGAAAAAAACACTTTACAAATGTCACTCTTCTATTTCACCAATTGTTAGAACCATGGCAGATTTACTTTTAGAATCTTAACCATTCCCCATTCCCTCAAGAAAGATAGCTAATGAGAGCCCAAATAGCTCGGGGGGGGGGGGGGGGCGGTGGTGGAGAACACAGCCTGACTGATGACCGAGTGCTGGTTGGAGCTAAGGGAAGGAATTTTACTTTCTGCTTTATACAACATTGTACTGTCCTAATTTTTTATACTAAGCATAAGTTACTTTCATAATAAAAAATAAAATTGCTTACATTTTGCACTCAGCCTCTTTAATTAAAATAAACAAAATCTCCAACACAAAGACTGATATAATGCCCAATTCCAGAAAAACCTAGAAGGAAATATAGCCCTTATCCAGTCCAACTCCATCATTTGACAGGAGAAAAATGAGTCCCAGAGTGGCTTGTCCACCACCAGATCGTGGCTATGGCGGCTTACGTGACTCCAGCCTTCTCAACAGCCCTTCTGCCGGCAAAGCACAAGAGCTATCAGGACCAACCCTCTGAGCTGGCATCCTATCAACTAAATGGTGGGACTGGGGAGTGCACAAGTGGGTTCTGGGGATTGCCTCAGCCTCTCTGGCTGTGGTATAGTCCGCTCACAGAGTTGTCACTATTGATGGGTGACAGTGACATGCCTCACCTATACCAGCAGGCTTCCCTGATTTATGTGCCTGGACTTGCTAGTAGCATCACCCAGGTGCTGCCTTTGAGGAGAGCAATGCATGCATTACTTCATTAGCAAGGTAGATGGCTGGACTTGGAATCAGTGCCTTGAATCCAACTCAGCTCCTGCCATGATGCCACTTTAGGTTTAAATTTGGCATGGAGAAGGGGGTGTGGGTAAAACTGGGTAATAACAACCAAACTTGAAACAGTTAGGGCACCTGTTTGTCATCCTTGGGGGTTGGAGAAGGGAAGGATTTGGCTTAGTTTGGGCTAAGTGTCTATTTTAAATAGCTGACCTTCAATACTTCAGAAGAGATCCAGAAACCAAATTTGAGCTTTTGTTTTGCTGCCGTGGACTCATTAGGGCTTTCTATTTCTAAAGGCTTGAACTTCTTTCTTTTCTACAACCTGAATCTGTTCCTTTGCTGGAAAATGGATGAGGTGACCATTAATGTCCCCTTTGACTTTAATATGCTATGATGACATGAAATACAGTGAAACATTGATTGACCTCTGAGTGAACCAGTTGTTCTGTTTAATTGGATTTTCTTGTTAACCAAAGATTTAGAAGAAAATGTTGAAAGTCATACATGTATGCTTATGATTAAAAATAACAGTAATGTATCAAGCTTCTTCTTCCACAGTACAGGGGTACTAACTCTACCAGATTCACTACCTAGATTTGAAAATGCGTGCAGCATTCATCAGCATGATCTCATACTTTTTGTGCTCACAACATACTGTAGGCAGGGCAAATATAAATGTCCATGTTTTACAAATGAGGCCCCACACTTCAACAAGGCAAAGTGACCTGCTGAGGACTACACAGCTAGTAAGGAGCAGATTGGAGCCCAGAGCTCCACCCATGGATGCCAGTCATATCTGGGGACATGGGTGCTTCCTTGCAGGCCTCTCTTCTGGCCCATCCCTTCACCAGAGCCAGGCCTTCCATATCCGGGCCTGAGTGCTTGCTGACACTTGGGCCAACGTTGGCTAGTTCCCGCCCATGAGCTCTAGTGCTGAGGGTAAGCCAGCCTGCTTTCCCAGCAGAAGCAACGTTGGCCTCCATATTATTTTCCTATTGGTGCTACAACAAATTACCACATATTGAGTGGCTTAAAACAACACAAATTGACCTCACAGTTCTGCAAGTCAGGAAATGGATCTCAGTGTTGGCAGGGCTGCGCTCCTTTCTTGAGGCTCTGAGAGAATGTTTTTTGCCTCTTCCAGCTTCTAGAGGAGATGTCCACATTCTCGGGCTTGGGGCCCCTTTCATCTTCGAGGCCAGCAAGGGCTAGTCTTTCTCACATTGCATCACTGTCTCCCTCTTCCACATTAAAAGGACACTCTCCTGCCCTGGCCGGTTTGGCTCAGTGGTTAGAGCATCAGCCTGCAGACCAGAGAGACCCGGGTTCGGTTCCTGCTTAGGGTACGTACCTCAGTTGCAGTTTGTCCCTGGCCCCGGTTGGGATTGTGTGGGTGGCAACCACTCGATGTGTCTCTCTCATGCTGATGTTTCTCTCTCCCTCTTCCCAACTCTCCCCCTCCAGCTCTATCTGAAGATAAATGCAAAAATGCCCTTGGGTGAGGATAAAAATAAATAAATAAATAAAAGGACACTTTCCTTACCTTATGGTTAGTTGGTGAGTAACTTAATTCTATTTGCAATTTTAATTCTCCCCTGCCAGGTAATACACTGAAAGGTTCCAGGGATTAGGACAGAGACAGTGGGGAGGGGGGATTATTCTGCTTACTGGCTGGTGCAGCTCTGAGATGGGGGGGGGGGGGGAGTGTGGTGAGAGGTATTTGCTTGTGAGACCCTCTTCCCCAGAAATTAATACTTTAGTGGGGTTCCTAATCTTTCCCCTCTTATATCTCAGTCTCTCTGCTCAGCACAGGGAGCACTCAGACCTCTCTGAGACAGATACCTGGAAGGTGGGCATGAAGGATGCCTCTGGGGGGAAATCAGAGGCCTCCACAGTTCTGAGAACATTTGTAAATTTGTGCACTAACAAGGATCCTGCTGACCAGGAAGGCCAGGTGATGATGTCTGAGGAGCTCATCAAGCTTCTGGAATCAGATGTGAATTAAAATATATGCTTACAACAACCTTAAGCTCTATGAAATCCAGTTTCCTCATCAGTAAAATGAGGATAATACATATCTTACAGGGTTGCTTTGAGGAGTAAGTACAGTATTATTCAGGCAAATTCTGACAAATAGTTTCAACTCAGTAACTATGATTTGTTTCTCTTATCTGAATGATTAGCAGACATGGAGACACTTGGTCCATGCCAAAAGGTCCTTGAAATTTGATCCAGTCAAAAACATCCATGTTTAGAAAACATTCCTGGGCCTTGGCCGGTTTGGCTCAGCAATTAGAGTGTCGGCCTGCAGACCAGAGTCCCAGGTTCGGTTCCAGCCATGGGCACGGTTGCAGTTTGTCCCCAGCCCCGGTTGGGATCGTGTGGGTGGCAACCACTTGATGTGTCTCTCTCGCGTCAATGTTTCTCTCTCCCTCTTCCCACCTCTCTCCCTCCAGCTTCATCTGAGGATAAATGCAAAAATGTCCTCGGGTGAGAAAAAAAAAAAAAGAAAACATTCCTGGGTTCAAATAGTCCATAATGTTTACTTAGACTTTTGGTTTACAGTATTAATACATAAAAAATATCACCCTGGCCAATTTGGCTCAGCGGTCAGAGCATCGGCCCACAGACCAAATAGTCGCAGGTTCAATTCTGGTCAAGAGCATGTACCTCAGTTGCGGTTCGGTCCCTGGCCCTGGTCGGGGACGTGCGGGAGGCAACCAGTCTATGTGTCTCTTGCATCGATGTTTCTCTCTCTCTCTCCCTTCCACTCTGTCTGAAAATAAACTGGAGAAAATCCTTGGGTGAGGATTAAAAAAAATTAAAAAATACTATGTTTTATTGTCCCAATAATTATGTAGAGGCTATATAGTGCAGTGCCAATAACTCTTCTTGCCTCAGTAGCCTAGCTGGCCATACACAGCTCATGGAGTGGAGTAGATAGGTTGGTGTGAACCAAGTGTCTCCATGGATATTCTGGTACAGAACCAAGTATCAATGATCTTTTGGCAGGGAACAAATGTCTCCATGGGCATTCTGGACAAAGCCAAATGTCCTGCACGGATCTAGATGGGAGCACAAAACCAATCCAAAGGACCTCGGAAAGAGCAGGCTCCCTGGGATAATTCCTCAGAGCAGATGCACAAAAATCACAAAGGTTTGCCAATTTGTTTTCCTTCACGATAGAAATACCTTTCTACCAAAATATAAATTTGATACCTGATTTGCCAAATGAACTAATCTAATCCAAATACAGTATGACTTGTGACTACAAAGTAATCTAACTGATCTTACAAGTAAATATATTAAAACCTGGCCATCCAAGTACTTTCCCTTCAAAGTAGTCACCCTGGAAGATAGTTATTCCAAAAATGCTTCCATGATTAGAGCACTTCAGGAACTCTTTTTAAAGCAGTTCTCACAGTTGTTGGCACACTCTTTAAAACTTCCTTTGAGCTGGCAAATAGTCGTCCTTCCAAGAAAAATTTGATTTTTTAAGAGAGCTGACAGTTATTCATAGCCCAGACTGGTGAATGGATTAACTAAATTAACTTTTCTGAGTAATGCAGTGTGATTATAATAAACCAATGATAATGATTTTTGTGTAGTTCATAAATTGACCTTGATAGTGTTGTATATTAAGGTTAAGTAAAGGTAGCATGGTCATAGTAGAGATTAAAGCTCATTTTAGTGGGTTTATGATGTGAATGAATTCAGATAGCACTGGGAGTCATTACACACTGAAATAGCACTGAATGTTTTTTATGAAAATCTTAATTATGTCATTCTCTGAAATCTGATTTCACAGTATGAAAATGAAGGCTTTAAGGGGAAGCATTAAATGCTAATGAAAGCTTTATTATCTCAGTACATATTCTCCTGGGCCTCTGGTCAAGACAAGGAATGATCAGGCGCGTGAGCTGGCAGCCGTCCTGGCCTCTGAAGCCTACCAGTGCCTGGGAGCTAAGTAACACTGTCACGTGTCAAAACACGTCCAATAACATTCCACAAACTTCTTGTCTTTTGCTTTCTGGGCAATGAAATATCATGGCATTTTAACATAGAGGAACGAAGACAGCTTTTTCTGGAAGAATCTCTGGGGAGTCATTCTTACTCAGAAGACATTGTTTGCCTCCATTCACATTAACTCCTCCAAATGTGTCTGCGTCTCACCCTCTAGAGCAGTGGTCCTCAACCTTCCTAATGCCGTGACCCTTTAATACAGTTCCTCGTGTTGTGGTGACGCCCAACCATAAAATTATTTTCATTCCTACTTCATAACTGTAATTTTGCTACTGCTATGTTTTAGGTGACCCCTGTGAAAGGGTCGTTCGACCCCCAAAGGGACTGTGACCCACAGGTTGAGAACCACTGCTCTAAAGGCTTTCTGATTTACCTGTTCTCCATCAAGTCCAATTCCAGTGCCCTGATTCATGTTGCTTTTTTTTTTCGGTATTTTAATGATCTAGTGTTTAGATTTAGAACCAAAAACAAACAAACAAACAAACGTCTAAGCAAGCAGAGTTACTATTATTCTCAGGTAATTAGAAAAAATGCATAATTAACTGAGGGGCTGCAGCATCAGTAAGGTTTTACTCTTGTCCACGTATCCAAATCCCTCTAACAGATGACTAGAATTTTTTTGAAGGCAGAGTTTATAAGATTACCCTAAAGATCTGTTTGGAGAGAGATCTAAAAACATTAAACAACAAAAAAAACAAACTGAATGGCACCTTCCCCCTAAAGGACTTTGGCGTGTGAAAAAACTTTTAAATGAACAAAAACTATTTTGGATTAATACTCTTTGGAAAACTATCAAGGCCTTCACATGATTACTTGGCCTTTACATTCTACCAGATACTGTCAAAGAAATGAATGTAAGCTCCAAGAATGCGGGGGGGGTGGGGGGGGGGTGTCTTACCTGGTTTGTTTACTGCTGTATCCCAAGTGCCTAGAATGTGCCTGGCCTGTAGGAAGCACTTCATGGATATCCGCTGAAGACGTACATCTGTGGAAAGATCTTCATATAAGAGTATCTGAAACTTAGTCCTTCTTGGAGTTCTCTCTGCAGCTCCCTTGTTCCCACAGGGTACTGAGAAACAGGGTGGACCTGCTAGATCTCCCTATCATTCTTCAGATAATTCCTTTTCCCAAGACATGCAAAATCCATGCCTTCCTTGAGGGTCATTCACAATAGTTTCACTGTCTTTCTCATTACCAATATCCTACTCATTCTCCAATATTCATTTAAAAATCCAGCTCATGCTCGGCTGGTGTGGTTCAGTTGGATGAGCTTTGTCCCATGCACCAGGAGGAGGTCGCTGATTCGATTCCAGGGCAGGGCACATGCCTGGGTTGCAGGCTCGATCCCCAGTAGGGGGCATGCAGGAGGCAGCCAATCAATGCTTCTCTCTCTCTCCTTCTTCCTTCCTCTTTGTGAAACCAATAAAAACATTAAAAAAAGAAAAAAAGAAAAAGAAATCCAGCTCCCGATTCATTCTTCTGTCCACATCTTTCTCCTACCATCGCCTCAAGGAATGAAGATGGCTCATCCACTTAACTCAACCTCCCTGGCTCCAATAACCACCATCTCCACTCCAGTATTCTACTACAACTGCGCCCTTGATAATGGTAGCATGGCATAATAATACTAATAATTTCTAATAGTTGGCTTATGCACTGGACACAGTGCTAAGTGCCGCATAGGCCTTATTATCTCATTTAAACTTTCCAACAACCCCATGAAGACAGTAAGGTACACAGACTAAATAAATTTTTAAACATCACTCAGGTCAGAAGTAGTGGATCTGTCATTTGAACCCTGGTCGGTCAGACTCCTTAACCTGGGCTCTTAACCATCCCATTGGGATGAAAAAAAATCAAGATTTAAACCCTACCTCTGCCACTCTGTCACATGAGCTTTTTGACCTTGAGCAAAATTACAACCTCTCTAAGCCTGTTTTCTAATTTCTAAAATACTGTCAGGAACAAAGATAATATATGTTAAGTGCCTAGCACAGTGCCTGACATACGACAAATGTGTGTTCCATCCATCTGACCACCAAGCACTTACTGAGCACCTCCTAAGCACCCATCTGTGGTAGGTACTGAAGACACAGCAGTGGATACGAAAAACCAGGTCCCTGCCTTCATGGGTCTGCACAGTACCTGGCAGGTGCTCAATAAATATTTGATAAATGAAACAAGCCCTCAAGGAGGTCTGCCAGCCTCCACTCTACGTCTCATCAATCAGCCATTTACCCTGCTATAAAACAATCTAATGAGGGCCCTCCCTGCTTAAAATCCTTGATCATCAAAAAAAAGATAAAATCTAAATTTCCTTGCACGATATGCAAGAATGGCTGTATATAAGTGGCTCAGTTCCCCTCCTCAACCCACTCACTCCACCCCCTTTCCTTTAAGCAGTGAAAACCTTTCTTCATATGTAATCTAATTGGAAGCCTAAACTGAAAACCAGATCAATACTGGTAACCTATTCTGGTAACAGGTGTGAGAAACAGTCGCCAGTTTGGCATGCTAACCCTTTCTACCTCGTCAAGCATGTGCACATGCAACACAGCTGCAGCTCCTAGGGCAATACCACAGGTTCTGCCAAACAGTTTGAAAACCAAGCTTTAGATCAATGATTTTTTAACTGCAGGACACACTCCCTTATGAAATCAATTTAGTGGTTGGAATCAGTGATTTAGAAAACAAAAATAAGAGCGCATTACATGAACTAATGGCTAAGTAAAATCTGTTATATGTGCACACTCATGTACTAAGCTGTGATATAAATTGTATTTCTTACTGTGGATCATGGCCAAAATGATTTGAAAGCCACTGCTTTACATCCTCTATGTAGCCTCAGTTCCTTCCATGTTTCCTCCGTCACACAAAACTCCATGCGTTATCAAACCACTTACAGTCCCCCAAACCCATCTTGCTCTTCCACTTCTTCTATGCCTGTGAGTGTATAAGCCAGGCCATCTGCTAGGCACTAGGAATGCAACGGTGAAAAAAAACAAGGTCTTGCCCACATGGCATTTAAGAATCTAGACAGGCAAGGATGATACTAGTCACACCAATTAATATAGAACTATGAACCAAAATACACACTCTAAGAGAAACTAAAAGGGTTTTCAAGAACATTTATCAAAGGCAATAGTCTAGGGGGATACATGTGGCACCCCCGAAGAAGAATCTATTAGCAGAGATCTAAAGAATGCGTCTGAGTTAACTAGGTAAAAGGGTAGAGGAAGAGCATTCCAAACATAACAGAATATAAGCAATCCTGGGATGCGAGAGGGCGTGGCATGGTTGAGAAACTGAAAAAGAGGCCAGCATGCCAGAACCCAGAGAAAAAATGGGAGAGAGATACAAGATAAGACTAGAAAAGTTAGCAGTGGCTAGACCAGGTAGGGTCTTATGGGCTAGGATTTTGTTTTCTGTCCTCAGAGTCACGGGAAGCCACTGGAGGATTTAAACAGGAGCTGTGAAGACACTATGCCCGCAGTGTGGATGGACTGGAGACAGGGAGGAGTACAGGGAGATCAGTTAGGAGGCTACTGGAACAGTCCAGGCGAGTGATGAGTGCACTGATTTAACACATTGGAAATTACAGGGAAGGGAAGAGAAGGTGGTGGTACTGAATAAAGGCTGACTCCTGGGTTCTGGCTTACACAACTGGCTATATGGTGCTGCCAACTGAGAGTAAACCGGAAGAGACCAGATTTGGAGAAGACTGTAGGTTTGAGCTTGGCTAAGTTGCATTTACAGTGGCTCTGAGTTAGGTATGTATCTTGACTAAAAGAACCTGGAACTCATGGGTATGTAGACATTCAATGAAACTGGGCATATGAGTGTGAGGAAAATGTCTCAGGTGAAGCCCTAAAGGCCTCTCCACTTTCTGGTGTTATATTCCTACTTGTTATAAATATGTATGATTACACCTAGTTAACTACACAATTATACCTACTTTAAAGTTCAAACATATAAATAATAAAAAGTAAAAGGCTGTTCACTCCTTGGGTAATTAATATTAACAACTTAATATGTACCCATATTTTTAAAATAAGATTATGCTATGCACACTTTTCTATAACCTTTTTTTTTAATCAGCAACGTAGTGAGAATATTCTTCTATATTAGGGTATAGATGGTTATATCTCACTCACCTTAAGAGCTACAAAGTATTGTATGGTAGGACTGTATCACAATTTAAACAATCCCCTGGCAGACAGTTACCTTCTCATCAACTGTTCCCCTTCTGCCTTGCTCACTGAACCCTGAACAGCAACATGGTCAGCCTCAGGTGATGGGTCATGATTGGCTTAAGTCAACTGAAACCTTCCTGTTGCCCACATTTTCAACTTCCCTTGTTGCAGTGGGTACTCATGTTATCGGGTTCTGGCTAATGACCCAAGAAGAAGTGTGCTATGAGAGCTTCTGAGTAAACTTTTGCTTTCCTGATAAAAGAGAACTAACATGAATATTACTCTCATTACCCATTTCCCCTGTTTTGGACATAAATGTGATGACTAAAGTTCCAAAAGTCACTCTGCAACTACAAAGCCATAGCCATCACTAAGAAGAGTACAGCAGAAAGTCAGAGTGAAAGCCTGGGCTGAGACAAATAGACATACACATGAACACCAACTCATTTTAAAGAATCCAAATGTATTTCCAACTTTAAAGTCTAAACAAGTAAAATAAAACATTATGAATCAAAGATTTAGAGACATAAGTGATGCCCTACAAAAATAAAAAGCATATTTGGAATATGATGTTAGAGAAAATACTTTCAACTGTTCCTGAGAACATGTTGGGTCCAGAAATGCCTTTCTAGCTCCCTGCCAAGCACATCCCTCTGTCCTGCAATTTGACAGGGTGGCCTTTGTGCAAAATCTCTGATACTTCTTGCCCTACCATGTTTGAGATTTCTACCTTCTTTTGCTTGCAATTTGAAAATGTACCAAATTAAGAAATAAACTTTTACATGAAAAATTGAAAGATACTTGATTCGGGTGAACCATAACTTTTCTTAAATTCATAACTAGAATAAAAATGAAACATCAAAAGTAAAAACTGTTTAAAAGCAGAAAAAAATTCCTCTTTTCAGGAAAAAATGCTTCCTAGCTTTTTAATTCTATAAAACAATGTGTTATTTTACTCTGATGTTGATGGTTTCTTCTGTTCTCAATTTTACCAGCTTCTCATGTTCTGACAAAAATATAAGATGTTAGATTTCTCAAATTCAGAAACTTATAGCTCCACTTAAACACTTAAAGGCTATTAAATTAATACATTTATACTGTGTGAATAAACTATAATTTAAAATATTAGACAACAAAACAATTTTATGTGTAATCCAAATTGTACATAATTCATGTCTATGATTCTAAACAACCAGAAGTTCACATTTCTTCTACTTTTACAGTTTACAAAGTGCTGTTATATACATTTTCTATTTAAGACAGACATATAGATGTTATTCTCATTTCACAACTGGAAACAGACCCAGACATTATTCAGTGCTCTAACCACTATACAGTGTAGCCCTGAGACTTTGATCTGCAAAGGGTTTTAATAACGTAAATGTCACATATATTTCCATTTCTATCACCATTTTCAAGTTTCCATTTTCTTAACCAAAGAAAACAATAAAAAAGTTTTCTGCAATCCAATAATAAAAATGGGAACTACAGCCTAGCTGGTGTGGCCCAGTGGGTGAGCGTTGACCCATGCACCAAGAAGTCCCCGGTTCAATTTCCAGTCAGGGCACACGCCCAGGTTGTGGGCCCAATCCCCAGTGGGGGGCATGCAGGAAGCGGCCAAACAATTGTTCTCTTTCATCGATGTTTCTCTCTCTCTCCCTCTTTCTTCCTCTCTAAAATCAATAAAGAACTTTTTTTTTTTTAATGGGAACTATAGAGACAGTATACTAACCTAATGAGTAAGATCTACCAGAAGCAAAGTCTACTATGGGAGTTCTATATTGTTACCTACATATAGGGCACCAGTACCAAAACCATATTTAGATGAGTAATTTTTTTTCTAATTTAGAGAAAATAGCAGGAAACTCCTGTTGCCTCCAAGTCTAATGTATGTGTGTGTGTGTGTGTGTGTGTGTGTGTGTGTGTGTGTGTGTTAGGGTGTGTAGATGGCCAGGAAGTAAACAGAAAAACACTTTATCCAGATCTAGAGTTCTAAGGCCTCTAATTATCCCAGTTTAGGCTTAAAGGAATTTAACAATCTGGTCACATGTCCCATCTTTAGTAACAAATTTACTTTTCTTTTCCCACTCCCTTTTCTAAGTGCCCTATACCATTTAGACTAGAAATTCCAACAGGTAGCCTTTCTTTCTGAACTATCTTCCCTACTGTATTTTTTTTCCCCCAGAATTCTCCTTTCCTATTCTAAATCTTGAAGACATTTCTTTACAGTAGATGAGGGAGCTACAGCTTATATTCACTGCCAGAAAAGGGTCAGTTCCAGCATTAATTTCCCAGCAGAGAGCTGAGAGAAAAGTCAAACAGAAAAGAAGAGTGATAACTGGCAGCGTAGTGACACCTGTGCTCAGAAAGCTACACTGCAGTTCTCCAGTATCTGAGGTTAACCTTTCCTTACTGCTTGGCCAGCTTCAAAAGAAAAATTCTGGTTGGTAGTGAGTTCAAAGCAGACCAGTATGTTTCAATCATTGGTTCAATGAGTCACTCTTTTTGATGTTACAATTTTTTTATTGCATTTGAGAACATTTCAATAAATACTTGAGTTTGAGGCCTTGGCTAGGTAACTTGTTTGCAGTAGAAATCAGATTTATCTGGCAAAACTCCATTGCCAGCAATGGGATTTATCAAAACTACAAATGCCAGCACATTGAATATTTCAATACTGTACTCAATTGTTCATATCTAAATAATTCAGCTATGAAACAAACCAATGCAAATGCTTAATATATAGTACAAATCAACAGATTCTTCACAGAAGAAAACAATGAAAGACTAATTTTCTACGTGTCACCTGTTGGTTAGTTCTTCAACAATATTACTTACATTATTTCAAGGATAATAAAATTTATGCACCACTACCCATGTTTCTCAACATTTTTTATCTAGTTCTAAAGGGCATAAACAAAAATGTATCTAGTCAGAACTGTTTTTATAAACTTTTGATTTTTTTTTGTTGTACATCTTACAATAATGAATATATGGAGACAAAGACAAGTGTACATTTAAATCATTAGTGGAGATATAAATTTTGCCTATATGGCTAGTTACTTATGTGGGTCTTACAAATGACAAGATAAAATAACAAAGTTTGATAAGCTCATCCATGCCCTGTAAACTTTAATCCACTCGCCGAATAACTTGGTTCAGTCATTATTTATTCGTTTTAAAAAATGTTTTTTAAAAGCTACAAACCACACTTTATTATACATTTCTGAATCATGAGGGGGTAAATTGTGATACAGTTCCCTCATGCCACTGGCCCTTTTGGAGGGAAAAGTTCTGCAATGAAATAAGAATTTCCAGACTCTGTAAAAAGGTTAAATTGTGTTCTATGACTAACCTTCAATCTACAGTCCCTTTGACCCAAGGCACAGTTCCTGGTGCATCTTTTTGAGGTTTAGTTTCTGGGAAGTTTTCAGCAAACCTCTCGCGCGCTTTCTCCCAGTTCTTCTTACTCTTGGTTTGGAGAAGATGAACATCTTCTATTGAGGATGGTTTGCCTGTCCCCAAGCCTGCATGTGTTCGTCGAAGCTGAAGCTGGATCTGTTACCAAAAGTTGAGCAGAGGACTTATTTATTGTACAAAGCACACTGAAATCTGCTATGTCCAATTTGGTATTTCAACCATAATTCTTTGATTTAGAAAAGATAGCTGACTCTACAAAAAAGAGTGCTCCTGCCCAGCCGGTATGGCTCAATGAATTGAGCATTGTCCCATGGACTGAGGTACCAGTTCAATTCCCAGTCACAGCACATGCCCAGGTTGTGGGCTTGATCCCCAGTGGGGGGCATGCAGAAGGCAGCCAATCAATGTTTCTCTCTCACACTGATCTTTCTATCTCTGTCCCTTCCTCTCTCTTTCTAAAAAATCAATAAAAAAATATATTTTTTAAAAAGTGCTCCTTAAAAAAATTAATTAAAAAAATAAAAATAAAACGTGCTCCTTAAATAGCCCTGAATTTCAATGAAATACTGCAGAATCTGTCATCCCACTTTAACCAAAAGTTAACAGCAATAGATGTGTTTAAACCTACTTTCCTAGCCTCATCTAAGTAAGTGAACAGGTAGATTAAACATTAGGAGTCATATAAAGAACTCAATTATTTATTTTCATAAAAAGAGTAAAATACTTCTCATTATTTTGAGAACCATCAAAAGGTACCAGTTACTGAGTGCCTAACATACATCAGTCACCATGCTAGGGGCTTTATCTTCATGACATCACTGAAAAACAGTTATCATCCCCATTTTTACATAGGAAAACTTAAGTCCAAACCTGACCTAAGTCCCACAGACTTAGGCAGAGTACATGTTCTAACCTAGGTCTGACTATAAGAACCATGTTCTTCCCATTATGTCTCAATGGAATAAGAAAACTTACATTAAACTCAGTGATCTATTCATTATTTCTTTAGGTACCAAGTAATTATGAAGAATATTTCTTGGTCATGTTACTTTGTAAGGTTTTTGCGGAAGATAATCTGAATCCTGATGAACCATAGGACTGCAGAATTAAGTTGTTGTACTGTTTTTCAAACATTATTCTATCACGTGTTACATTTACATGCTCTGATTCCTGGACCCAAAACAGATTCTCCAGGTAATAGAGAATCTGCCTATTTGTAAAGTAACACTGTAACTGCTCCTGCAATGCTTAGTATCAGGAAATCATTAAAAACAACTATAAGACACAAAAATACTTGGGCTCAGGAAATAACATTTTACTATCCTAGCTCCAGTGAAGAAAAAAACTTTGAGACTTCCTAAAAACATTAAAAACAATGCACATGTATATATTTAGTAATCATGAATGCCACTAAGGCAGTAATCACATCTGCTTTTGCTTGCTACTGTTCTACTAGCTCTTAAGGCAATGCCTGGCACATATTAGGTACACAGTAAACATATCTGCTGTAGAATAAAGAGTGAAAGAAAACACAAATCTTACCGGAGTTTTCATTCCTCCACCATCCTTCCCTAGGCCCTCTCCTTTTTTCCAACCCATTTTCTCCAACATCTTCCGACCTTTGTTGCTATCAGTAATTTCACTTTTAAAAAAATGAAGGAGAGAGTTGATTTCTGTCACATTTATAATAAATGAATAAATTAAAAATAATTGGTACCACTACTTTAGAAAACTACTTTGGAAAAGTTAATACTTACGAATGAACAGATGCAGGTGCATCATCTCTTTGGAAAGTTCCTTCACTTCCAATCTGCTTCCTACGTTTTCCTGCCCTGTCTTTATATTTTGGATTCTTCAATGCCTTTTCATCTTCGTAGTCTGTATTCTTTATAAACACAAAATATTCACTGAACAAAACAAAGCTGATGAATACAAATGTAATGTCTGTGTATTTGCCTTATTAGCAAATATGGTTCAATGTGATCTCTATTGAACAATAAAGTAAAACAAGCCATGATATAAATGAAGACAACTGTTATTGAATATGCTATTTTTATTCCATCCCCTTTCAAATGTTTATATTATTCAAAGTTGTACTATAACATAATTGTATGTAGAATATAAATCATATGTAAATTATATGTAATAAGATGATATAGTAAAATAAAGTATATTTTGACTAAATGCTGTGTACTCATATTCTCAGATTAACTACCATTATTCAAAAAAAACATGGAGAACCACTGGGGTTGAGTGACTGGTTAATCATATAAATGGAGATATATTGCCCGGCCAGTGTAACTCAGTGGACTGAGAGGTCCCGGTTTAATTCCTGGTCAGCGCACATGTCTGGGATGCCGGCTCCATCCCCAGTAGGGGGCATGCAGAAGGCAGCCAATCGATGTTTCTCTCTCATATTGATGTTTCTATCTCTCTCTCTCCCCCCTTCCTCTCTCACTAAAAAAATCAATAAAAACATATTTTTAAAAAAAGAAGATAGCCCAGACAGTGTGGCTCAGTGGTTGAGTGTTGACCCATGCACCAAAAGGTCGCCAGTTCGATTCCCAGTTAGGGCACATGCCCAGGTTGTGGGCCCAATCCCCGGTGGGGAGCATGCAGGAGATGTCCAATTGATGTTTTCGCTCATTGATGTTTCTGTCCCTCTCCCTCTCCCTTCCTCTCTCTCTAAAATCAATAAAGGAAAAAAAAATTATCCAGTCATAATTTTTTCCAGTTTTGCCTATTAGAAAAAAAGCTGCTATGAACATTTGTTTACTAGTCTTTGTATAAACATATGTTTTCATTTCTCTTGGATAAATAACTCGCAATAGAATGATGAATCATAGTGAATAATATATTTAACTTTTAAATAAACTACTAAACTGTTTTCCAAAGTAATCACACTATTTGATGTTCTCACCGGCAATGTGTGAGTGTTCCAGTTCCTTTACATGCCAACCAACACTTGGTATGATTGGTCTTTTTAATTGGTTTTAATTTGCATTTCCTTAATCACTACTGATACTAAACATCTTTTCATCTGTTTATTTGCCATCTGTACATCAGCTTGAAGTGTCTATTCAAATCTCCTGCTCATTTTTAATTGACTTGTTTCAACTGAGTTTTGAAAGTTCATTATATATTCTAGATATAAGAGGTAGGATTTTTATCAGATACATGATTCGCAAATATTTTCCCAGTCTGTGGCCTATCTTTTCATTCTTCTGACAGTATCTTTGGAGTAGAAGTACTGGAAGTTCAATTTATTAATATGTTATTTTATGGATTGTGCTTTCGTTGACAGCTATCTAAAAAATATTTGCCTAAAAGATTTGTTTCTATGGTTTATCTTTCCCCCACCACCCCCTCTTCTGGGGATTGTCAGTCTATACCCCACTTCCACGTCTCTGGGACTACCCCATTCCTCAGACTGTTATGTTCATTACATTCCACAAATAAGTGAGATCATATGATACTTGTCTTTCTCTGTTTGGCTTGTTTCACTTAGGATAATACTTTCCAGGTCCCTCCATGTTGTCTCAAAGGATAAGAGATCTTTCTTTCTTACAACTGCATAGTATTCCATTGTGTATATGTACCACAGCTTATATACATGTATGCATGAACAATCGACATGGACAACAAAGCTGGGGACAGGGCGGGGAGGGAGAGGAAGGGGGGAATCACTTGGGGGGAAAGGAGAACCATCTGTAACAAAAATAAATAAATAAAAAAAAAATAAAAAATTTACTTCTAAAAGTTTTATAGTTTAAGGTTTTAAATTCATATCTATGATCCATTTTGAATTCATTTATGTTATGTGGTGCGAATCAAAGTTCTTTTTCTCATTATTTTTGCATATGGCAATTGTTTGCTGAAAAAGACCATCCTTGCCCTGGCCTGTTTGGCTTAGTGGTTAGAGTGTCAGCCCACGGACCAGTGAGACCCGGGTTCGGTTCCTGCTAAGGGCATGTACCTCAGTTGCAGTTTGTCCCTGGCCCCGGTTGGGGTCGTGTGGGTGGCAGCCAGTCGATGTGTTTCTCTCACATTGATGTTCCTCTCTCTCTCTCTCTCTCTCTCTCTCTCTCTCTCTGTCTCTCTCTCTCTCTTCCTCTCTATCTCCCTCCCGCTCTGTCTGAAAATAAGTGCAAAAATATCCTCGGGTGAGGATTAAAAAAAAAAAATTAAAAATAAAAATAAAAAGACCATCCTTTCTCCACCAAATTGCCTTCACAACTTTGTTAAAATCATATAGACCTACACCTACACACACACACACACACACACACACACACACATCTATTTATATGAATACATTTCTGGATTCATTATTCTGTTTCCCTTACCTATTTATTTATCTTTATGCCAATAGTTAGTCTTAATTACTATAGTTTATAATCAGTCTTGAAATCAGGCAGCATTAGTCCTTTAACTTATGTTCTTCAATGGTAACATTTTAATGCAAGTTTTTAAAAACCAGAATGTAGGGTACTATTATCATTTTTCTATCTCAACCTCAACAGTTGTTAAAGGTAACAGTAAACAACTAAAAGAAATTACATAAGCTTCAAAGTCATTCTAAATGACTCTTTTTTATATATATAAAATGCACTATGCATATCTAAAGGCATTTTCACTCAAAACTAGGTACACAATTTATGAACGCATATTTTAATACTTAACACCCTTACCCGTAAACCGTATTTTACTCGTATTTTCTTTAACTCTTTTCTCCTTTCCAACTCCTTTTCCTCTTTGCTTAGTGTTGGACCAACTAAAAGGAAAAAGTGAGTCTGGTTTAAAAAGAAAAACTCACTAAATCTGATAGATTTTATATAATATTACTATTTATATTTAATAATTTAAAACAAATTAACAGCATTAGTATCTGTAGATTAATCAAAAGTGCAAATAAACAATATAAAGGAATCTTGGGTTGTGATGATGTCTTTTCAGCATTTTGGTAATTAAATCTACTTAGAAAGTAAACCAAAACCCAAATATTATAGGAATGTTACAGTATGGATAACAAAAGAAACACCACATACCTTAAATTTTGATATGATTATTATAAAAGAACCCCAAATACTGTGAATTTTCCAAAGAAATGCAGACATGTGCAAAAGAAAAATCACAGAACCCAAGATTCATGTTATTTTGTAATGTGTCATACTTATTTTCATAATCTAGTATGAAAAATAAAAAATATACAATGATCATGTAAAATTGGTATTTAGGAGGAAAGCTCATGTGAAAAAAATTAGTTCTTACTAGTTCAAAGTATCTATTTAAATTTTAAAAGCCTTAGATGAGTGAGTTTAAAGCAAAACAGCGCCCAGCCAGTGTGGCTCAGTGGATTAAGCATTGTCCCATGGACTGAGAGGTCAGATCAGGGTTCAGCTCCTGGTCAGGGCACATGCCCAGGCTGCTGGCTCAATCCCAAATAGGGGGCACACAGGAGGCAGCCAATCAATGTTTTTCATTCACATTGATGGTTATTTTTCTTGTTTTTTTTAAAAAAATATATTTTTCTTGATTTTCTAGAGATAGAAACATCAATCGGCTGCCTTCCACACGCCCCATACTGGGGATCAAGCCCGCAACCAGGGCATGTGCCCTGACCTGGAATCAAACCAGGACCTCTCAGTCCATGGGATAATGCTCAATCCACTGAGTCACACTGGCGGAGCTCACTTCGATGTTTCTCTCTCTCTCTCTCCCTTCCTTCTTCTCTAAAATATCAATGAAAAACATATACATTTTCCTTATTTAAAAAAAAGCAAAATAGTTACTTCTACAGTGTTATTTACTACAGAAAATCATGGTATATACACTGATGATATATCAACATAAACTGTAAGTAGGAAAGCAAACATATCAACCAATAACTCTGAATATCTTGGCCTATTATTTTCTATGTTACTATTATATGACAGAGTTTAACTGTAGATGACTTTTTCATATCAGTAAATAGATGTTAAAAGGAAACTAATCTTTATTATAGTTATGTCACAGTTACTCTTCGGAAAACATTTAGCTGCTTCAAAAGCCTACTAAACTAGATCAGCAAAAACAGAGCTAAAGCTTATCTCCTGGTCAGAAAGTAACCTAATGCTATATATAAGAGCAGCTAAGTTATTACATAGAAAAATCAACTACAATCATAATCAACTAGCCCAGGTCTCAAATTTGAAATACATGTCATTTCTGAGTCTCATTTGATAAAATTTACTGAAATACAAATTATCTTGCCCTGGCTAGTGTGGTTCAGTTGGTTAGTGTCATCACGTTCACCAAAAAGTGGTGGGTTTAATTCCCAGCAGAAGACATACCCAGGATGCAGGTTCGATCTGGGTCAGGGAGTGTTCAGGAAGCAATCAATCAATGTTTCTCTCTCTCTCTCCCCAAATCGATAAAAAAAGAAATATAAATATCTCAATATAGTATCATATCAAAATTCATTATCAAGATATGCAGCTGGTAGCCAAATGATACATTTTTGGAACACTTCAGTGAATTACAAAGTTATCATGCCCACATATAACAATACGTTTCACATACCAAAAGATTCATCTTTCTTATCAAGACGAAGATGAGCTCTAACCTGCCCTGGTTCACAGCCATCACAGGTGTCACTGCCAGGGTGAATGTGAAAGGACAACACAGTCTCCCCAATTTTCACTTCATCTCCATGCTCAAGTACATAAGGGTCGCATTTAGTTTTAGGCTGAGGGGGAAAATTACAAAACGGAGATCTAAAAAAGTTGCATATAATTATTTTATGTCAAATGGAAGTAATGTCTAATTACAACAAAAAAATTTTGAGATGGTTCTCAGTGTCATAGACACACATACACACACATTTCCACAACTTGAAGATGATCCATAATCTACTAGTAGAGAAGATTAAAAGAACTGAGAACTTTTAATTTTTATAGTATCTATCTATTTTTAATCCTCACCCGAGGATACTTTTCCATTTATCGTCAGACAGAGTGGGAGGGAGGGAGAGAGGGGGAAAGAGAGAAACATTGATGTGAGAGAGACACATCAACTGGTTGCCTCCCATACAACCCCGACCAGGGCCTGGACTGAACTGCAAGGCTGGAATCAAACCCACAACTCTTTGGTCCACGGACTGATGCTCTAACTGCTGAGCCAAACCTGCCAAGGCTAATTTTTATATTATCAAACACCACAATCTCCTCTCTCCGTGCCCAATCCTATCAGAAATACCCAACTCAAATTTCAGTCTATTACCAAAACAAATAATCATAGTCAAAAAGATAAGGAAATAAGTGCATCATTATTCTTTTTCCTCTTGATAATTCAGTTTTATTTCATTTTTTATTCTCATAGACTAAGAATAAGACCTCCCTTCCAGTGCCAAGCATTTTATTACATGTTGAAGTTAGAAGAGTTAATTGGTTAGACATAGCCCCTGTCTTTAAGGAGTTTAAAGTTTAGCAACACTTTCATTAAAACAAAATTTTAAAAACATAAAAAAGAAAGGCCCCTAAAGTTATTGTAAAAACATTTACTCTAAATAGCTTTAAAATGCATTTACCTCTAAAAACAAGGCATAGACACACTATTTTAAGTCAAAACTTAATAGTCAAGTATTCACTTATTACATACTTCTTCAGCCCTTTCCAGGAATTCCCTTCCATGTAACAACACATTTGGACTTGAACACTGACCTAACCAAATTATATGTATAATTACTATGGCCTTCAGGAATAAAAAAATTCAGTTCAATTTTTTAAAATAATGTACAAGTAATTAATACATATACACCCACCTGAAGAATCTGTTTTCCATTAACAACTGTACCATTCTGACTGCCTTGATCCACAAGGACATAGCTTTGTAAGTCATGGTCAAAATAAATTTCTGCATGAAACTTAAAAAGAAATCAGGTAATTATAAAGTAGCATACTTTTTAAAAAATCATAGATAATTTCTGTATGATAGGATGCAACGGACTTTAGTCTCTGATAATTTAACTTTTACTCTCTTTAATACTCTTTCTGAATACAAAAGTATTATGATGTTTCTGGCAGAAAGGTGGAGGCTACAGAGGAAAAAGTCACCTATAATTCCATCTATAACGACCATTAGTAATTTACTGTGTCCTACCTTTCTACTTCTATAATATAGTAGAGACTACACTATATAAACAATTTGAAATTATTTTTTCACCTAACATAAATATTTGTACATAGCATTAAAACATTCTTAATACAAAGGTGACTTAACACATTCGAAGTCAACTTCTCAAAGAATTTTTCCAGTTTTTCAATACCCAGCACTAATCAATCACTCTCCTTGCTCCATAGCACTTTGCTTATATAACACTTATATTACACGAAGTTATTGAACTTAATGTTAGTACTGCTTATAGTACTGTTAATGTCATTGTACTGCTTACATTAGTTTACATTTTTGCTTACCTCTTAGTACATAATACAGTGCCTCACATATACTGAACATGTATTCAGTACATGTCTCTTTAATTGGATAAAGAGCTGCAGAAATATTTAATTATAAATTTCATATACAGTACAATACAGTAAGAATGTAAAATGGTGTAGCTGCTTTGGAGATGTCTAGCAGTTCCTCAAAAAGTTAAACAGAGAGTTACCATACAACCTAACAATTTTACTGCTAGGTCTGAAATTAAGAGAAATGAAAACACATCCAAACTAAAACTTGTATATGAATGTTCACAGCAGCATTATTAATAGCCAAAATGTGGAAACAATTAAAATGCCCATCGATTGATAAATAACAAAATGTAGTATAGCCATTCAATGGAATATTATTTGGCAATAAAAAGAAATGAACTACTAATATATGCTACAACATGGATGAATTTTGAGGACATGCTAAATAAGCTAGATACAAAAGATTACATGTTGTATAATTCCATTTACATAAAATGTACAGAATAGGCAAACCCACAGAGACAAAGACTGGTGGTTGCCTAAAGCTGTGGGGGTTGGAAGGAAATGAGTGACTACTATTGACTTTGTTCTTTTTTTAATTTTAATTAATTTATTTTATTAATTTTTGTTACAGATGTTTCTCCTTTTTCCCCCTCTAGACACCCTCCTCCTGATCCTGCCCTCCCCCACAGCAGTTGTCTATGTCGGTTGGTTACACATATATGCATATAAGTTCTTTCATTTATCTTATCCCCCTGCCCCCGCCCCCTCCTGAGGTCTGTCAGCCTGAATCATACTCCTTTCTATTGTCTCTAAGTCTATTTTGTTCATCAGCTTATTTTGTTCATTATATTCCACAAATAAGTGAGATCATGTGATATTTGTCTTTTTCTGATTGGCTTATTTCACTTAGCATAATACTCTCCAGGTCCCTCCATGTCGTTTCAAAGGGTAAGAGATCTTTCTTTCTTACAGCTGTATAGTACTCCATTATATATATGTACCACAGCTTTTTTATCCACTCATCTACTGATGAACACTTGGGCTGTTTCCAGATCCTAGCAATTGTAAATAGTGCTGCTATGAACATAGGGGTACATATATTCTTTCTAATTGGTATTTCAGGCTTCTTAGGATATATGCCTAGAAGTGGGATCACTGAGTTTGTTTCTTTCTATGGTGATGAAAATGTTCTAAACTTGATGTGATGATTGCATAACTCTGTGAATAACTAAAAACCTCTGAATTATACACTTTCAATGAGTCAATTGTACATGGTATATAAACTAGATCGAAATAAGGTTGTTCTTTAAAAGTTTCATAAACATATTTCAAACACACAAAAGAACATATTGAACTTATCTACCTGTGACCCAGCTTTAATAAATGTTGCCATATTTGCCGCAGATATTTAAAATATATTATCGTTGATATGTACCTCACTCCATCCATCCCTCACCCTTCCTTTTCAGAGGTTTAATGTTTATTTAATTATGGCACATCTTATTATACTTTTACCACATATGTATCCATAAACAATATGTTTATTTTGCCTGGTTTGAAACGTGATATAAATAAGTCATACTGTATGAATTTCTTATTGAGATATAACTTATATACAGGAAATTCATAGGCCTTAAATGTATAGGTTGTTGAGTTCTGACAAATGTATGCTACCATATATATTTCTTTTATTTTGCTTCTTTGGCTTAATATTATGTTATACGGTATATTCAGTTGCTGGGCACATTTGTACCATTTTGCTGAATGGTAATCCACTGTATAGATATAGCATAATCGACATAGTCTTCTGATAATGGACATCTAAGTTTTTCCCAAGATTTTGTCTTTTTTTTATCCTTACCCGAGGATATTTTTCCATTTTTGTACAGATAGAGTGGGAGGGAGAGAGGGGAAGGGAGAGAGAGGGAGAGAAACATCGACGTGAAGGGACACATAGAGTGGCTGCCACCCGCACGACCAACCAGGGCCGGGGACAAACTGCAACCGAAGTACGTGCCCTTAGTGGGAACCGAACCCGGGTCTCTCCGGACCACAGGCCGACGCTCTAACCGCTGAGCCAAACTGGCCAGGGCAAGATTTTGTCATTTTAAAAAATGTTTCGATGAACATTCTTGTACATGCAACCTTCGGGCAATGAGAGTGTTTCTCTGGGGTATATACTTAGGAATAAAATTGCTTAGCAATAGTATAGGCAATCTTAAACTTTATTAAATACTGCGATATTGTTTTCCAAAGTGGTTGTACCAATTTATATTCCAACAGCAATATAAGAATTCCTGTTGTTTTACATAGCCTTAAATAACATTTGGTATTGTTGGAATTTTGTTTTGCCAAGCATAATAGTTGTGAAATTAAATTCATCATTGTGATTTTAATTTACATTTCCCTGATTACTACTGAGGCTGAAACCTTTTCTTGTATTTATTATCCATTTGGGTTTCCTGTTCTGTAAATTTTTTCTTCGTGTCCTTGGTACATTTTATTCAACTTGGTCATTTAGAATAATAATAACTATATCAAAGGGTTTAAATATTTTCAAGTCTTCTCACTTGAAACCTTATTCCAAAAAGCTGTTCTAAATTATGCTCCCAACAAGAGTGATATTTAATAAATACAATAAATGAAAACTGACATCTTGGCTTCATTTTTATTTCTTAAATTACTAGAAAGATTGAATGGTTTTCATATGTTAAGCATGATATATCCTCTATTGTGAATTGTTTATGTCCTTTATTTATTTACCTACTGGTGTCAGAGTAGGGTTTGAAAAGTGAACTTGTATGAGCTTTTAAAATGTAAAGGATGTTTATTTTGTCATATTTGTCTGATGATTGTCCTAGTCTGCTATTTATTTCTTTTCAATCCTCACCCGAGGACATTTTTGCATTTATTTTCAAGAGGGTAAGGAGAGAAACATTGATGTGACAGAGACATATCAACTGGTTGCCACCCACACAACCCCATCTGGGGTCGGGGACAAACTGCAACCGAGGTATGTGCCTTTGGCGGGAACTAAATCCAGGACTCTCTGATCCATAGGCTGACACTCTAACCACTGAGCCAAACTGGCCAGGGCCTAGTCTGCCTTTTAAATTTGTTTCTTAACATACAAAGAATTTCAAAGTTAGATTAGTTAAAATTATATTGTCCTCTGTGATTTTTTTTTTCCTTTTTTAACTTAGAAAGTCTTCTCTTATACTTGTTTCTGCTTTTCCCCCCCAACAGTACCATGAAGTGTGTGTGTGTGTGGGGGGGGGGTAGTTTAATGTTTTTCATCTACCTGGATATGTGTGACAAAATATATACTGTCACACTGATTTCACAAAGCTAACAAATTATTTACCCCACCAGTGAACATGTTAGTTTAAAAGAAAGAAAAAGCAAAAATGTCACCAGAGAACTACATGAATTTTTGGTTTGGAGTGGGAGAAAGACTTCTCTGCTACTTAAGTTACAGATTGGGTTTACTTTGAAGGCAAAAGAATAAAGGGTCACAGGAAAGTTAAAAAGATAATTTGGTCAGAGTTAAGATTATGAGGATCTCTCTCTAAATGAGTCCAAACACAGTAAAAAGAACTAGACTTTCAAACTAATAGTGAAAAACAAATTTTATTCTAAAAAGTCAAAAAAATCATATAAATACTTTAGATCCGTATTGTAGTCCATTAAATAGAAACAAAATGGGAATGATCAAAGGTAAAAAAAAGAAAAAGAAAAACAAAAAAAGGAGGTAGAAAAACTACAGAAAATACAGTTAAAAAAAAGGATAAATATGAAGTTTAGACTCTAAGTAGCTAGACCTTTCAGTTGTTGTTTTTTTAACTTATGATTTAAGTTGCAACTCTGTCCTTATTATTTGTTTTGAAAACTCAACTGTTCTTTTTCCTGAAAGAAATCATTAGAGACTCAACTAGGAAAAACTGTAAAAGAAGAGCCTTAGGTAGGAGAGTAGAGTGTTTCTGGGTTACAAAATACTCTAAACCAGCAGTTTTCAACCTGTGGGTCATGACCCCCTTGGGGATCGCCTAAGACATAACAGTAGCAAAATTACAGTTATGAAGTAGCAACAAAAATAATTTTTTGGTTGGACATCACCACAACATGAGAAACTGTATTAAAGGGTCTCAGCATTAGGAAGGTTGAGAACCACTGACTAAACTCTAAGTAACCATCAACTAAAAGTAGCCTGAATCCAGGTCTGATTCCTTTTTGAACTGTCATATCTAGTATATTTATTTCACTCAATAAAAATCTATTAAATGGGTATTACTTCAATACCTAAATTAATCCACAGTTCCTTTTTCTTTTTCTATCCTCACCCAAGGACATTTTGCACTTATCTTCAGATAGAGCAGGAGGGAGAGGAGGAAGAGAAAGAGAAACATCTAGTGGTTGCCACCCCCACGACTACAACTGGAGCCGGGGACAAACTGCAATCAGGGTAGGTGCCCTTAGCGGGAACCAAACCCGGGACTCTCTGGTCCACAGGCCGACATTCGAACCGCTGAGCCAAACCAGCCAGGGCTTAATTCACATTTTCTACTCCTGCTCCAGATTGTTAAAAACTAAACATAATTTAGTTAATTCAAATTGTGATGAATTTTTATTTTCTCAAGCAGTGGAATAAACAAATCTGCATTGCTTGTATTATCATTACTACACTATTAACCTTTCTAGTAAATGGGAAAAGCCCTAAGCTTTCTGCTATAATGATTTATATAATCATATCAAGGTGCTACACCTGTAAAATCAAAGAGCTTACCTTACTGACACCAACTTCAGGGATTCGAAGAGTATGCTCCATATCTTTTTCTCTGCACAGTTAAGAAAAATGTATTTAATAATTTTTGAAGCATATACAAATGCAGCACTTAGAGACATGAAAATAATTTTTTACCAGATTTTATTTTAAAAGATAATGATTAAAACAAGATATGTTAAAATTCAAGTCTCTCTATCACACTAAGTCCAGTTTCCTTAATCATACTCTAAATTTCCTACTTGAAGGAGATTCCAGAATTACTTTTATTCTTTCGTACATCTATCACAGGCTAATAAACTTCTAGTGGGACAAAATATTCTTTGCACTAATGTCAATTATTTATTCCAGATCTGTTTATTATGTTCCCATTTCTATTACCTCATATAAAAGGAGCACACTATTCTCCAAGAATTTAAAATTAAAGTATTGCACAGAATCTGCATTAAGGATAAATTATCTTTCCAGTTAGGAAGGAAGGAAATTATCTTACTCATGATTAAAACCTACCTCTCTAGCAAGCTGGTTATGAGCTACAAAGGGGTAAAGGAAAAGCAGAGGTGGCTAATACTAAGTTAGATAAGTAATTTAAACCTAAAAAAGGTCATACAAAAGGTAACAAAATAACAAAATCTCTGTGAAAGGTATCAAAAAGATTTTATCTCTTTACACAGGCAGTTCCCTTTTGGGACTATGAAGTCCTACCCCTGACTGATTTCCAAAAGCAAGTGTCAGTAATATTTTTTGAGTACCACATACAAGTATCTTGAGTAACAAGTATCATGCACATTTCATAACTGCTCAAGAAATGTACAATCCACTAGAATAAGACACATATACAAATATAATAATATTAAACATTTTACCTTCCAATTGTAGCAGGGTTTACAGCTGTAATGATAAAAAGTGATCCTGTCTGCAACACTGGTGATCTAATAACAATTACCCTAATACAAGGGGGCCAAATTTTTTCCTCATCTGCCAAAAAAACAAATGGGTAAATATTAACCAAATGCTATGGAAAAAAATTAGAAATGTCTAGGGATAATAGGAGGTACCCTTAAAATAAAAATATATTGATCAAAAGTCTTAATTCTGTTTTAAATAACCTTCTTAAATCCTGCTATATGACATAATGCAATTAGTAAGACTTAACAGTTACCAATTCAAAGTGATCAACCTAAAGGTATTCTGCAAAGTCCGTATATTTAACAATTATAAAATAATCAACTCTCCTCTTAAGATTGTGGAATTTAAAAATATCACAAACAAGCATTTTTATGTTAAGTTAGAAAAACTGAGTCTAATCTACCTTTTAAAAAATATAAGAAACTGTTAAGAACAAAATAAACTCATATACTCTAAGATGAGATCCTGGGTTTTAAAAGTATGTTTTTATATCCTCAAGTAAAAAAAATATATATATATTAGATTTATCATAATACCTATATATCTGAATTCATGGACTACACTTCTTTAATTTAAAGAAGGAGAGGCAACTTGCTCTTCCCTTCTCAATTATAAGAGTGAATTATAAACATCTAACCCACTAAAATAGACTTAATACATACTTTAGGATTAGGGCATAGGTAACCTGGTCTTGTGTTCTGTTGACTAGGCCATTCGAGGCAGTGAAACTTGAAGGCCCAAGTGTTAGTCATTTATTCACATCCTACTCCCTAAGAATAACCAACAGTAGCCCACAAAACTTTCAATAATGTCATGAAAATAATCAATTTAAAACAATGAGTTTTATTTTTTGGCAGATACACTAACATTTTTAACAGTGTTGCTCTGTTTACAATGACCAGACTGGTTTATTTATGTAAAATTATATAATGGTTATTTACTCACCTTCATCCTCAGTATCTTCTGCAGTTACATTGTCTTCACTGGTAATGTCTTCATCATAACTGTCCTCAGTCTGAGAGTCTGTAATTTCACCTTCTTCTGGCTCACTATCAGACTCTAGGATTTTCTCATCTTTAAATGAAGTTGAATTATAGATGTTTTCATTAAGAGAAAATTCTGTAGGCTTTCCACTAACTGGAACAGTGAATTCCAGGGAACTATTTTTATAACGAATGTCTATTTTGGCCTTCTTTTTCACATTTACACAATCTTCTCCCTCACTGCAGTTCATATGTTCGATACTGGATGCTTTTTGATCTTCTGAATTCAAATCCTAAAAAAAAGATGGGTGGGAAGAATAATCTTAAACATGACCACTTTATAATGCCAAATGTTACAATGAATGAGTGAAGATATATGTACAGTGAAATAACAATAGCTATTAGCTGTACCCCCTCTTCTGCTCATGTTCCCTTTCTTGCTTAAATACATTATCACCCACTTAGCATCCAAATAAAAAATCTTAGTTATCTTTGACATCCCCTTAAGCACCACATGAAATGAATTACCAAGCAATACAAATAATTTTTACAATTTATCTCAATTCGCTCCTCTTACCTATTTCCAATCCTAACTGTCCCAGTCCAGGCCCTCATCACATACTGCCTGGACCAGGTGACAGTCTAGACCAATGCTGTCCAATAAAAAAATAATGCAGCCCTGGCCAGTTTGGCTCAGAGGTTAGAGCGTCGGCCTGCGGTCCAGAGAGACCCGGGTTCGGTTCTCGCTAAGGGTATGTACGTCGGCTGCAGTTTGTCCCCGGCCCTGGTTGGGTTGTGCGGGTGGCAGCCACTCGATGTGTCCCTTTCACGTCGATGTTTCTCTCTCTCTCTTTCTCTTCCTCTCTCTCCCTCTATCTGAACAAAAAATGGAAAAAATGTCCTCAGGTGAGGATAAAAAAAATAAAATAAAATAATGCAAGCCATATTTATAATTAAAAATTTTCTAATAGCCTCATTAAAAAGGTAAAAAGAAGTAAAATTCACTTTATTATTATCTAATCCAGTATTTACAAAATATTATCATTTAATATATTATTATTTAATCAATATAAAAACTACCAATGAAATATTTTACATGGATTTTTTGTACTGCCTTCCAAATTTAGTACAGTTTATACTTACAATACATCTTAATTAGAGCCAGCTATATTTCCAGTGCTCAGCAGCCACATGTGGTCAGTGGCTACCTTATTGGACAGTAAAGGCCTGGAGAATACATCTACACTAAATTTTGTTTTGAACTTTTAACCAATTATCAAGTCAAAACATAAAATAAAGAATTGGCTTTCATTACAGCAGAGTTTTAAAGATCCAAATGTACCTAATGTAGCAGAACAGTAATTTCACTAAAATATAGCACTTTATAGAGTTGGTTATATAATATACAACAGTTCAATGTACAGACAAATCAGTTGCATTTTTGTTTATTCCAAAATTCCAAATTATCTGGCATAACCCTTTTATTATTTATTATACAATTATATTGGGCACGCCTTTTGATAAATGAACAAATCTATTATTTTAACCATAGAAGGAGAAGAGTTATTTCTCCCCTTTTTTCTTTGGTTTGTAACACATTGAATTTTCTTTCTACCTTAGAGCTACATAAGGAAGTGAATGAATATATTCTGTTATTTTATGAAATATGAGAGTATCTTAAACACATTTAACAGCAGCATAAATTCAGTTTGGAGACTGGCTAAACACTCACAGAGTGATAAACTACATATACTTCCAGCAATACAAACTCACCAAGGACAAGAACAAGGGCAAGTAGCTGAGCAACTAGGAGCTTTAAAGGCCACTGTGAATTATAGCAAAAAATTTTCCTATCTAAATATTCTTTATAAAAAGCAGTTTCCAATCTTGTGTATTTTACTATTATTGCTTATAGGACAACAAATGAAAGGGGAAAATGAGTGAAACTGCCAGAGGTACTACTTCTAAAAATCTATTTTCCAGAATGTTAAATATTCATTAAGAGATAAGGGACATGTGGGCATTGGGGAATATATGGATATTTCATTATTTACTCCTATCTCCTCACTCTACTATCTTCTTTCCACATACCCTCCACCTACAAAGAATGAGGCTCAAGAGTACCTTAAAAAATAAAGAAAAGGTGAGGATGTCTTAACTGGTCTCACATGCTTGAATTTTCAAAATTTCATCAAGAATTTTTCTTAAGCCCCCGTCTTACAGTTGACATATTTTCAAAAAAGGGTGGTAAAGATGAGCAGTTATGGGCCCAGCCAGAGTGGCTCAGTTGGTCGAGCATTGTCCTTTGCACAGAAGGGTTGCCAGTGTACATACCTGGGTTTCAATTTGATCCCCGGTTGGAGTATGTACAGAAGGCAGGCGATCAATGTTTCTCTCTCTCTCCCTCCCTCTTCCCCTCTCTAAACATGTCCTTAGGTGAGGATTTAAAAAAAAAAAAAAAAAAAAAAAAACTAAGATGAGCAGTTATGGGAGCTAAACGGAACCAAAATCCCACCATATGTTTTCAAATTTCATTCTCTGGTTTGTCAGAAAGGCCTTTTTGATGACTGGTATAAGTTCTTTTCTTATTGCTAGGGAAAAATATGTTTACAACCTATCCTCTCAAACAGTTCAATCACCAGTAACAGGTAGGAGTCATTAAAATGTAATTCTTGCCCTGGCCAGTTTGGCTCAGCGGTTAGAGTGTCGGCCTGTGGTCCTGAGAGACCCGGGTTCGGTTCCCGCTAAGGTCATGTACCTCGGTTGCAGTTTGTCCCCGGCCCTGGTTGGTCGTGAGGGTGGCAGCCACTCGATGTGTTCCTTTCGCATCGATGTTTTTCTCTCTCCCTCCCACTCTACCTGAACAAAAAATGGAAAAATGTCCTCGAGTGAGGATAAAAAAAAAAAAAATGTAGTTCTTGAAAGTAAAGAGAAAAATCACTTTTAGTATTTTAGTTACATACTCTTCTATTTACATGCACTGTCAGTGAAAACAGTAGAGAAGTAGAAACACATCAAATACAAAATAGAAAAGAAATTCAACAGGATCCCAATTCCATATCTGAACTTGGATATTATATATTTTTTAATGTTTTTCTTTGGTTAAGGAGAGAAAAACATGAGATAAAATTTTAAAAATGAAGTATCAAATAGTTGCCACAATCCACAAAATGCCAATACAAAAAATAAGCCTCATTTCCTGCCTATAAACTATCAACCTTATCTGTGGAGTGAGCAGAAATAACAGCACTAATAACTTGTTTATACTTTCCTTCTTTCAAGTTAACATTGTATCACAACTATTTTTTTAAATTCCCCTCATTCTTCCTGACTACCATTTTAAGGCATAGATAATGCTTTCCAATTAAATATATTATCATTTTCTTAACCAATATCTTGTGAGCTATTTGAACTTTTAATTTTTTTTGTATTCTATTCTTATAAATATTGCTATATAACTATACAAAGGTGTTTTTATTTCTTTGGATTTAAAAAATAATGAGAAGTTACCAGAAACAAGATATTTCCCATTGAAAAATATCAACATTTTACAGTTGTTCATACAAACAGCCAATCTATTTTCCAAAAAGATACCAATTTATACTCTAATAAAGATGCACCTACTCTGTATTTGCCAGAAACACATTTTTTTTTAAATGTTTGTTAACATAATAGGTAAAAAATTGCTCAATGTGACTAAGAAAGCTAAACTTTTATATACATCTCCTTACAAACTATGTTTTTGTTTCATTGTGAATTGTGCAGACATCAACTTATCAACTAAGGGTCTGAAAATTTTTCCAACTTATGTAACACAAGAATATTTTATCTGCCCTAAATCTATCTCTTTCAAACTTTTAAGAAATTCCTTGGAGGGAGAATCTGTGAAACAGACTAATGTAAATGCTCCTTGCTTAATAGAGTCTGATACCTTTTTATTTTAATGGATATGGGATATGTTTGAAATGCAGAGTTACTGAATGATTTTCAGTTTCATAAAAAATGTTGGCTTAACTATATCACCATTACAGAAATTTTAAAAATTAGGAAGACAATACCTTTTCCTCATTTGTTGTAGAAGAATCTGGATCCTTTCTTTTCTTCTTCAACTTTTTATCTTTACTTTGTTTTGTGCCAGAAGTCTGATAAGGTTGCAAATCTACTCGAGAATGAAATTGGTATCGACCACTTTCCACATCACAATAGTAATAAATTCCAGTAGAAGGATCATAATATAGTTGATTTTCCTTTTAGAATCAAGAAAACAGTAATATTTATATAAGATAAAACAAAAGTAAACGATAGAAATGTCAAACATATTCAAGTATAGTAAATGTCTGTTTCTTTGAAGAACTGTAGTATTTTTTGAAGATAGTAAGTAAAAATATCACAATGAAAAATGCTTGGTCCTGGCCAGCGTGGCTCAGTTAGTTGAGTGTCCTGCCACGCACTAAGAGGTCTCCAGTTTTATTCTAGTCAGGGCACATGTCCGGGGTTTCCAGCTCAATCTCCAGTAGGGGGTGTGTAAGAGGCATCCCATAGATAAATGTTTCTCTCTCATAGACGTCTTCTCTCTCTTTCTCTCAAATCAATAAAAACATATTTCTTAAAAAAAGAAAAATGCTTTTTAAAAAAAGTATTTTTCAAAATACGTTCCCATTCAATATCTGCTCTAATTTTCCTTGGGTGAAAAATGAGTACATTTAAATATTAAATTGAATCATGAAATTGCCAATATTTGACGATTTTTTAACTAGAGAAATAGCAATTTCATATGGTTCGACTTAATACATCAATGAAAAATTATAACAAGAAACTTTTTAGAAGTTATGAAAACTAAGGCATGCATCAGAAAAAAGCTAAGCACATGAAAGCAATTCCAGACTCATTATCCTTAAGATTACACAATAATGATTTGGTAATATAAACCCCTGAACCCTTCTCTGTCATAAAACAAAGATTTGCCTTTTAACGTTCATGACTTAAAGTCTTGTAGAAAAATTTGGAAATCAAGTTAAGTTCATAAATACTAAAACATAATGTTCTATACAAAGAAATCAATAAAAAATCATCTTTACTTAATTAATTCTACAGTAAAAGACTTACTAAAGCAAAACAGCCACACAAAAATAAATTTTGGCAATTTATGGATGAAAGCTAGAAAGATAAAAATTATGTAATCATCTGCATTTTGTAGGTATTGGCAAGTACTCTATAATCATGATTTAATTCAAAGTCTGTATTTTCTTTTCATCATAAATCTATGCAGATCAGACCTGGAAACCTCTTATGATGTACTCAAATTAAACTAATACTTCCTGGAAAAAAAAATTTATTTTTCTAATTGTCGATACTATTGCAATTTACTGTCTTTACTGTCTTTAATTTATTTGCAAATCTCTTACAAAAATATTTTGAATTCTATATTTCGCTTAACTTAAAAACTGAATGGACATGTTCTAACCTTTATTTCTAGTGATAACATTTATATCATAAACCTTTTAATCTGTTATGTCTTTCAGTCCAAAATATAGTCATTTTCAAAAATATTTTTAAGTTTTTATTTAATTAAAATGAAAATTAGCACAATAAAAATAATAAAACAATGAGGTCCCTAATTTACTGAAACATATAACCTGCAGAACGTAACTAACCATTTACAGAATAAATGTCCAGAGAAAAAATACAAAAAGGAAGGAAGAAGAATGACAAAGACTAATATCATATACTCGGAAAATCTGTATTTTCCTCCAAATAAGGAATAACTACTCTCTTTAGTAATAAGAGTTTAAACATTAATTTTCTGGGTATTAACTAGCATTGTCAATTAGCCTAGTCCTGGTGAAAAAATACTCTCTCTTTACAAAGGATTTACAAAGTACATATACCAAGTACGTATACCGAATGCAAACTTGACAAGCTAATGCAATTCCTATCTAAGACATTTAGCATTATCATTATATTCTGTAGATTACTTAACAATACTTCCAGTAACTGGAATGATGAACATCTGGTTCACTTTTGGGTACTACCTTCTGTAATTCCTGAGGATCAGATCACATGCCTAAACTATCAAGGTACGTGAGTTCCATCAATGTCATCAAATCCTGATTTAAAATCCAATTAAGTGCCAGACTTCAATAGCCATCACACTGTAGTATATCATACTGTATTATAAATCAAGAAATTACTTTTCTGGTTCTGTCCTAGTCAGTGGTCCATCATATTTCTGATTCCACACTGAATTCCTAGTTCTCACTGTTAACAGATTGATTTTTCAAAAGTGAAATGCTTAGAAGCCACAGAATATAAACCACTAATAATAAATATGCTATGACAAATTCAAGAAAAAGATTCCCTCTATGGCCTCAAATGGTTCATAAGTATTTGAAACAAACAAAAATCTCACCCAAGGCTAGAATTAACGATGTCACTTCCTTATAAAGTCTATAAAAAAAATGTTAGTTTAGGTTCTCAAAATTTTACAATAATGTAGTTGTCTGCTTTTATTAATAAATGCTCCAACACTTTTGTATGTTCCTTTCTATATAAAAGGTTATTAGACCTCTCTAAAATATTAATTTATAATAATCATAATTAGCTTATTTATTTATAAGTCTAGAAGTGTAGTATCATAAGCTATTCTATAATTCTTTGCTGTTTTCAAATACCTTTGAATCAAACAATTTTTAAACGCAGCTTCTTGCTTTTCTTAGTTAAGCTTAGGGTTTAGTATTTTGTATCAAGCATCTAAGTATACAATTACAGTATTGAAAGGTTTAAGATACTTACAGAATCATAATAGAAACCTGTGCTGTGGTCAAAATACAGTCCAGTATTCTCATCATAACTAAATCCAGTCTGTGATACAGCAGCTTCTGCTGCAGCTCTCAAACTTTCAGCTAATGAAGAACCTTCTAAGGATGTATCTTCTGTTGCTAACACAGATGCTGGCTCCTAGGTGAGATATATTTATGTCAAGTAAGACAAAAATGTCCTTACATCAACTTAAAATTAGCAAAATTCAAAATAGACATAAAAGCTCTTTTAAATAATAAGACTTCAATTTCTGTAATGGAAGGGATGGCTATCAATTACAATTTGATCCACTTTAAAAAATATTTACTAGTATACCAATTAATTCAATTTTGACTCAGTTTTGAAGACACTAAAAGTAAATGACCATTACTCAAAAATAAATTCCTGATACCACAGGGAAGTAATCCACAAAATAGAGACTCTGAAATATTCTTTAAGACAAACAATCTAGATTCTTCCATAATCATAGGTCCAAAGAGAAAAAAATTTTTTAGAAGAGAGATGGAGGACAAAGCTATGGATTATGTGAGATTTATTACAGCATTAGCAGTTACACTGTATGAACCTTCCTGGGATCCTGGCTCAAACAGGCAACTACAGAAAAAATTTATAGAACATTCAGGAAAATTTGAACTGTAGCAGGATATATGATATTAAGGAAGCATTAAAAAATTTTTGTTGTGGACCTGGGTGGGTAACTCAATTGGTTGCAATATCATCACATACCCCAAAAGGTTTCGGATTCGGTTCCAAGTCCGGGCACATATCTAGGTTGCCGGTTTGGTCCCCAATCAGGCACGTATGGAAAGCAACCAATTGATGTTCTCTCTCTCTCTCTCAAAAATATCAATAAAAACATATTTTTAAAAAATTTTTTGTTGTGAACAAGGTAACTGTGGTAGTTGAACAAAATTTTTTGGTTGAGTCAATATATACTGACAAATTTTCTATTTTAGTTCGTGTACATCATAAGTTTTAAGAACACAACAAAGTAAGAAACAATGTAAGAATTTATTCTAATTTTTGTTTCTCTAAATGTGTAATATTCTGCATAATTATACACAGAATATTTACCACACTTGTATATGTTGTGATGGACCAAAGAAGTCAATTTGCATATTAACAATTATGAAGGACAAGTTCTTGGGTATCAATAATATCATGTTAAGCATTTTATTACCTGTGAATTTGAGGCAAAATGGTCCTCTTGTCCACATTCAACCTCTTCCGTCACATCAGTACCAGTGTAAGCATCATTTTCTATTTGTAACTGGTCTTTAGAATTATAAGTAGAAACCTCAATATCCTGATCTTGCTGAACTGAGAGTTCTGTTACTTTATTTGGAAGACTAATATCCTTATAGTATGTCTGATAATAATAATCTATAGTAAAAACAAATTGTGATACATATTAGAATAGTGTATATAAAAAGGACTTAATTCTAAAACATTGGCACTGGCACGGCCTATGTGGCTCAATGGTTTAGCATCGACCCATGTACCAGGAGGTCACCAGTTCGATTCCCAGTCAGGGCACATGCCCAAGTTGTGGACCAGATCTCCAGTGGGGGGCATTCAGGAGGTGGCCGATCCTCGATGTTTCCATCTCTCTCCCCCTCTCCCTTCCTCTCTCTCTAAAATCAATAAATAAAAATAAAAATAAAAATAAATAAATAAAACACTGGCACTGAACACAAAACAGCATACACTGGAAATAAATCATATTTTTACAATTGTACACATTTTAACAGATTAAAATTGATAATACAGATAAATCTGCAGAAGCTTATATATCTAAATCTAATGTTACTTTAAGTACCTTAGCCGTCAAGCTAAAAAAAAAAGGTAAGCAGATTTGGATTTTCCACAGCAAGACTAAAAAAAGAAAACAGGTAGATAAACTATATTCTGTCAAAAAAGATTTAGCACTCTAAACAATTTCTAACCACACACTTTAATATCACTGAGTGTCAAGTGATAATGAAATAAAGACAACATGTCAAGGGTAGACTTCTCTGTCAAATTTCTCTCTTGATGCTAACTTTAAAAATATATATTATACAGATATGTAATATTAATGCTATTGCTATGTTTAGCAACTTAGCTAAATTATATACTGAATAAAATAAGGCAAAACTTAATGGAGAAAATCATTTCTTGTGATCTCTATTTATTAAAATTCACTTGCTCTGTTATTTTGCCTCACAACATAATTCCAGTGATGAGGCCATGGTTGTGGGCCTAACACAATACTAAGTGCAATGCATCAACAAGAAAACATATGCAACTGGTCACATGGAAGACCAGATATGAGAGTAAATGGCTCACAGTGTGACAGAAACTATTCAGCGAATGTGCCACTAAAAACACAGTGGCAATCCTATGTATGTATAGAAATAACAATACAGCCCAGCCAAGTGTATCTCAGTAGATTGAGCACTGGCCCATGTACCAAGAGGTCGCTGGTTGGATTCCTGGTCAGGGTACATGCCCAGGTTGCGGGCTTGATCCCTGGTGTGGTCGTGCAGGAGGCAGCTGATCAATGTTTCTTTCTCATCAATGTTTCTATCTCTCTCTCCCTCTCCCTTCCTCTCTCTCTAAAAAAAAAAATCAATAAACAACATTTTTTAAAAACAGAAATGACAATACATTTATATTTTTGCACCAGTAGAGCAAATAAATTATCTGAAAATATGTAATCATTTGTCTATTTTAAATTTAAAGAACACTCCATGTTAGCATGACTTGAATGTGATAGTGTTAGGATAGCTCCATTTTCAACTGAATACCTGAGATTGACCAAGGAGGGTGGTTCTCTGTTTGTACTTCTACATCAGACTTCTTATTATCTTCGTTTCTCCCACAATAGAGTATTTTACTGAGTTCTTCTACCTAAAAGAAAACAAGGCTTTAGGAAAAAGAAATCATATAGCAATCTAAAAATATGCACACTATTCTCCTGAAATTACAATTAGTTTCTCTTGGTAAAAGTTTTAGAGAAGTACCAATAGTAGCTGGTTTCCTTTTCGGAAAAACTGAAAATTCTATCATTTACTTTCTTTCATCATTTACATTTGCAGAGGGAGATGTTTTCAATTCTTATACTCTCTTGCTAAACCTCAAAATATCCCCTTTGAAAATCAGACTGACTAAATTAATAGGACTTTATGAACAGAATCCTTTATTTCTAAAATATAAGAATGTTTTTATACTAACATTTTAATTGGTCATCAGTGCTCTCTAAATGAGAAAAACAGTAATTCCCATGCATTGCATTAAAAAGTACTTTAATGTATGCTTTTTCTTTATTAAATAGTCTTATGACTAAATAACTGCAGCAGAAGAAAACAGAAGTGACTGCCTCACTGACTGCCAAAGCTAGAGCAACAGAGTGCAGAAATACCCATTAGCAGATAAGGAACAGCCTCAATAACCTGAGTTACACAAGATCTAAGAGTGAGATGTCTATTACAGGCATGAAACTAAAAAACAAGCCTCTAAATATTTCTTTGATGATACATAAAGCTTAAAAGGAGAAAGGTGATAAAACTGAATATATAGATTATCTAGGCACTTCATAAATGATCAGATATGCTAATACAACCAGGGCTGGAACTAGGTTGAAGCAAGCAAGGTAACTAGGGAACAAATTAAGGAGGCACTCCATCACAGCTTCCTGCAAGTACTGGGCCTATTCCTGAGAACCACTGCCTTGTTAAATTTTTCACCCTAGACTACTGATTGCCTTGCCCTAGTCTTGGTTCTGCCACTATCACTATTACTATGAACTAGATGATTTAGTTAGTATCTGCTACATGCTAGGCACTGTATTTGTTAGTTTGGATAGCATCTTTATTAATTCTTACAACCATCTTACAAATTAGTTCTCCTAATCCCCATTTTACATGTGAGAAATCTGAAGAGACAAAGTAATTTGCACAAGTTTGGTTTTGTTTGTTTTTCTCTCCAAAGCTTGGACATATTATGTCTTTCTAATGGTTCACCCACAATTCTCAACCCAACTTTTTACTGCTCTAGATAAAAATACTATTTAGTAATTCAGGGATACAGTTACCAAACTCCACTACCACCAGGGAAGGATGACTAAGAGGAGAGTAAGAAGTATTTACTATCACCAATAGAGTTGAGACTTTCTATCATTTCAATTTTTCATGTTAGACCACCCTTAAATTAACACTAATAACCAAAATGCTGGCTCTTCAAAGAGTAGCTTTTTTTTTTTTTTTTAGGATTTCTATAGCAAGTAGTACTTGAACAATTGGGAATTATAAAAAGGTTTTCTTAAAGGCTGTCATATATTGCTCTCTTTTCTCAAAGATATTTTAACATTTGTAATTTCCTAGCACAGTCATACATTACAGGTGTTCAAGAACTAGTTGTTGAGTAAACAAACTCAAATTTTCTATGTCTATATGCAATGGGCACACCAAGTCATTGCAACTCTGCAGGTATTTTCATAGATAATTTGATACCATGCATAACAAAGTCTGATGACGTTTAAGGGTTCAGAAAGGTTTTAGGAAAGGTACCAATGTATTACAGAGGGCTAGACAATCATTTAATTGAAATTAATAATTACGTGAAAATAACTTATCCGGACACAGTGCAACTGCCAAACAAATTAAGTTGGGAAGAAGTATTATGCTTCTGTTTCAAAGTTTTTTAAGTGTGAGTTTAAAAGTACGTCCTTACTGTTTTATAAAAATGGTTAGTTGCTTAGTGTCTCTAACAAAGAAAGTTCTATCTTCCCTACTTCCAACAGAAAACTCAAAATGATAAACGCCCATAATGACAATCTTTCACAGGGTGTTCAAATTTGTTCGTGCTTAATTTAAGCTTCGCCTGTGTGGCACTAACATTCTCATTTGTATGGTCAACCAAAGATCAGTACCCGTTCACACATCTAGTGAGAGATGGGATTTGGATTCAAGTCCGGCACGTCAACAAACTCAAAAGTAATCTAGAATAAATTATAATCGTGCCTGCTGCCAATGGGCGGTACCGACAAGTGAGAATGAATACAATGTAAAAGCACAGAAGTTCAATTCACACCAGCCGTAACTTCTGCTCACGTACTATCTAAATCGAGTAACCCGAACTCAGGTTTGCTCCAAATGTACTCTGAATTTTAATCGCACTGAACTTTTACTTCTTTCAAGTACTTTTGGGCCCCTGCCAGGGACTGTCAGAGGCTCCGAAGACCTCGTCTCGGGCTGGACCGGCGCGGGGCTGGAGGCGGACCGCGCACCTGGGTGCGGAGCTCCTGGTTGTTGCTCTCGGCGCTCTGGTACAGACGCTCTGTGTGATGCAGCAGCTTCTCGATCTCCCGCACCTGCCGCTTGCAGCTGCGCAGCTCGCGTTCCAACTTCTCCACCTTCCGCCTCAACTGGGCCAGCTCGGGCTCGGGGGAGGTGGGTGGCGATGGTGACAACGAAGGAGACGGCGCCTCGGACGCCATGGAGTCCGGCGCCAGGCGGCCCGTGGGCGCGAAGGGGCTGCGCTCAGACTGAGGTGCACGCTGGCGGCCCCAGAAGCCACGCGAGCGCGCGGGCAGCGAAAGGCGGCCTCATACCCGCCCGGCCGCGGCGGCCCCTCGCCATGGCGTCCTGAAGCTCGTTGCCTGTAGCCGAGAGGACCTGCGGACAACGAGCGAGGGGAAGGCGGATGGACCCAGCTCAATCCGCCCGGCTTTGAAACAGTAAAACTTTATTAATAAATACCTTCCCCAGCTACCGAGGCAGTCGCAGGAGGGTTTAGAGAAATGGGAGGGCCAGAGAAGCAAGAGCCAGAAGCGCTCTGGCCTTTCCTGGGCGGAACCGGAAACGACAGCGCCCGCGGTGGGCGGGGCCAAGACCGAAAGGGAAGCGACGGGGAGCGGGAAGGGCCTCACCGTGCACATGCGCACTTCCCGCCGACTGCTGTGGGCCGGGCGGTATGTGAGTGTGGGAAAGTGGCTAACGGAGACCTGGAGTGGCAAAGAAGGTCGCAGCCTTTGGTCTCAGGCTTTTGCGCTCGCGAAGCATACTCTTTGACATTCTTCACTATTTTTTGGTTTGGTCCCATTTTTTAGTTATTATTTTGTACTTCAGATTGTACTCATACTCCTTAGTTCACAGCACTTCATCAACATTGACCCACGGGTGGCTCTTCTGTTTGTGGGTGGGGGCTGTTTCTGTATTTGTTTTACCGTAGCTGTATATCACCGTTCATCAGTCCCATTACCTTCTTTCTGTCAATATAAGTACCCACTCTCACGTGTCTGAATTATGTCCTTAAATAGAAATCTAGCCTTATAAAGGTTTTATGTGTATTTCTTTTACATAAATAGTATTTGGTTAAAAGATGTTTTAAAAATTCATGTATCTTGCTATACATACTTGTAAGTGCTGCGGGGTATTCCGAGGTATGTGTAGACCACATTTTATTTATTCATTCCACTAGTTGTCAACATCCAAGTTATCTCCAGTTGTATTAACATACTTGATAGCACAATGAAAGCCCTTGTTCGTGCCATTTAATTGATCTGTGCACTCATTTCCTTGGGATAATAGCAAGGAATGTGATCTCTGGTTCATAGGGCAAACATTTAATTTCGCTATGTGCCACTCGACTGCTTTCCAGAATGGCTGTATAACTTTACAGTCTGGTCAACAGCGCACGGTAGTTCTGTGTCCTCCACATCCTCTCTAGTACATGTTAGTCACTCTTGTATTTTTTGCCGTTTTTGTGCATGAAATAAGATGTTTCGTTGTTTAAATTCGCACTTCTCTGATTACTAGAGGATTTCATAGATTTATTGAAATGGCTATGTGGACTTTTCCTTCTGTGAATTGCCTATTCATATCTTTTTGCCTATTTCTTGGGTTTTTGTTTTGTTTTTGTTTTTCCAGTTCTTTCTATAATCTACATATTAATCCTTTACAGGTATCTACTTTCAATATGTCATATATCTGTTAATTTCATCTATGGTTTCTTTTACTGAACAGAAATCCTTAATTTTTATGTAGTCAAATCAGTATTTTAACTTCATTGTCTTTCATATGCTTTATGATTTGGGTTTTTGAATCTTATTCATGAAGTATTTTTCAATCCTAGGTCATATTTTCTCTATAACTTTATAATTTTAACTTTCACATTTAGTTCTCCACTCCAACTGGAGGGATTCAGATGTAGTTTTCCACGTAATGTCCTGATTTCTTCAGACCACCTCCATTACATTCCTCTGTAGCACCACCTTTATCATTTATCGAGTTGCCGTATATGCATGGGTCTATTGCTACGCTCTCCGTTCTGTTTTGTTTGTACATTAGTCTGTTCCTATGCAGAACCATTCTCTTTTCATCATTTTGGTTTTGTAGTATATCTTAAAATCTGGTAGGGCAAGTTCTCACTCTGCTTTTATTTTTCAAAATTGACTTACTCATGAACCTCTATTTTTCCATATAAATGTTAGAATGAGTTTAAGTTCCTCAAACAATCCAACTGAATTTTCATTAAAATTTAATTGGATGTATAGATTTATTTGGAAAGAATTAACATAAAACTTTACTGTGTTAAGATATCCCATCTACATACATTCTTTTTGTTATTGTTCCATTGATTCATTTTCATACTTTAATAGAGTTCTAATACTTTTTATGTTAAAGGTCTTGGGAATTCTTTCTTAGTTTATTTCCTGAGCACTTTGGTTTTATTGTAAATAAAGTCATATTTTCTAGTATATTTGACCCTCAAAGTAATGATAGGTTTCTAGCTTTGACAAAGGCAGTAGGAACAACTGAAGGAGAGTATGTTGCATAGGGGAGGGAGGAATGCTTTAGTTTTTATTTTGTTGATAATATTGAGTTTGAGGTACCTGCAGGGCATCCATTACAGGTGTTCAGTAACTAATCAGCATTCCGGAAGCCCATCTGAAACTTAAGAAACTAACAAAACTAATAGTATTATACAAAGCAAACACAAATGGCCCCAAGGTCTGAGGAGGTAAAGTAAATGAATGGACAGAGCAGTGAACAGCCACTACCAAGTTTTGGAGAACTGAAGAACCATGTAGGAATGTGGACCCAGTGTTGTGGAGCTTCCGATTTTTCAAGAAAGTCAGAAATTTGGATTTTTAGGTGAAATCTGTTTAAAAACAATGATTCAAATTAAAAAGATAATTTTTATGACATATTATTATAGCCTCTTCACTGAACATGTGTGCTTCAGTTACCGGTTCAGGATTTTTACCGTCACTGACACTGCTGTCTGCCCCTCTCCTCCCCTTTCTTTGTTTTCTAACTTGTCTCTCTTTTCCTCTCTCTTTCCCCTTAATTTTATAATTTTGCTTAAAAGAGTTGATTCTCTCCTTGCTTTCTTGGATTCCTGACATTTCCATGAGAGAAACATACCCAGGCATGTCTGCTAGTCTCAGGAGGAGGATAAATGACACATGGAACAGATCTATTGCAGGTAAGAGACTCCAGCTAAGCCAGCCTAGAACAGAGGCCTCAGGAAACCCTCAGGCAGTTAGCAGTCACTAACTGATAGTGGAGATCAGCCAGCCCCCCACCTCACCCCAGGGTTGGGAGAAATAACAAATGAAGTTTGTTGGAAGTCACTGAGTTGGGGTTATTTTGTATGTAGCAATAACTGATACTCAACCTGATCTAGAGCCATTCCAGGAGTCTGTGAATTCCAGCAGCCTGGAGTCTAAGTACCTGATATATTACTATATTCCATAACAGAGGAATATTGTCAATTAAATAAAACCTGATTTATAGCCAATTTCTTTAGGAGTATCATCAATTCTATATCTAACGAACATTTACCTGTCATAATTTATGTTGAATACAATGGGTAGCCAACTCTCTCTTATCTGATCCTACTGTTTGATGTCACACAAGAATATCTGGGGAGCCATAGCATTTCAGTAATTCTGATTTACTGCTCCATATTACTTTTAGTTAATTGACCATTACCTGTTTTCTCCCCCTAGAGGCCCAAGGAAAGAATGGGTAGGAGTAACACTAAAACACCTGCATGATGGTAAAGGAAGGAAGCCAAAGGAAACTAGGCACATCTCTCTTCTCTGCCCCCAACTGAATACTAACATTTTGCACCTTCATTTTATGATTGTATAATGAGTAAAATATTATGTTATGATAGTAAGTTTTTCCACGCTCCCACCCCCAGGGTGCAGTCTATCATGAAGGAAAACAAGACTAGGAAGAGAAATAACTATCCCTAGAGATGGCAAGGAGCTAAAGGAAGGACATGCTTGCCCTGGCTGGTTTGGCTCAGCGATTAGAGCGTCAGCCTGTGGACCAGAGTCCCGGGTTCGGTTCCCGCTAAGGGCATGTACCTCGGTTGCAGTTTGTCCCCAGCCCTGGTTGGGTCGTGCAGGTGGCAGCCACTCGATGTGTCCCTTTCACATTGATGTTTCTCTCTCTCCCTCCCTCCCACTCTATCTAAATAAAAAATGGAAAAATGTCCTCGAGTGAGGATAAAAAAAATAAAATAAAAAAGGAAGGACACGCTGTATCTAAGACCAGAAGGAAACAAGAGAATGGAGGAAAGAGGAAGTGGGGGGTGGGGCTGGGATGGGAGCCTGGAAATGTTGCTCAGGAAGAGTGAGTGTGCATTGCACTAGAAGAGTTGGTCAGGTAGAAAGGACCACCATGAGGGCTATTTATGCAGGGCCTAAGAACTGCTTCAAAACTGAGCCACCAGAAAGTAGTTTACCCTGCTTTTACCCAAGGGAATGTCTTCATCACCTGCACCAGGAGAGTCTGATAACTGCCCTGAAGTAGTCCATGAGCACATCATTCCTTCAGCATCCTCCTCTACTGATTAAGTAGGAGAACTTGCCAATCATCCCCTCTCCCCCATTATGTTGCCCAATGCATACAATACTCCCAAGACAGTCATGAACCTATATATAGAGAGAACAGGACCCTCAAGTGGAGTGGGTGTGGGGAACACCTCACATTTGTACTTGGGTTGGGGGTAGCTGAATGAATCCATCTTAATGCTGGAAGAGCCTTCTCCTTCCCTTCCTCCCCTTGTCTTCCCAAGATAGAGCAATGGCTATTGACAACTCTCTTGTAATCATTAAAAATATCTAGGACTATAAGAAAGAAAATTAAAATTTACCAAAGGAAACATTAAAATGCTAAGAATACATATTTACCTTCTCATTGTTTCCAAACGGTCCTGGACACAACTCTAATCATTTGTTGAAATATATGTCCTTCTCGCCTCGCTTTGTTTATGAGGATTTAATGTGAGACTGCAATGAATATTTAATCACCAAAGTCATGGTAATAATTTGTCGGAGCAGTCTCCAGAAGAAAAAGGACAAAATGTTTGTGAGCCCAATTAGTTCTTTATTATCATCATATGCTTATTAAACATAGACATGGCATTTTGTTTGGAATTACATGTATCTGTGTATAAAATAGTGATAAATTATAATTCATCAATATATGCCAAAAATCTAGAAGAGAAAGACAAAGTTGGGTTCTTATGTAGTTCACTAGGGTTACAGAGGACATCAAATAGTACAGAATTAACTTGATAAATTAATGAAATGATTTAAATGCAACTGAGACGTGTGTGGAGTAGTAAAATAACTTTTAGAAAGAGACAGTTTAAATCTCAGCTCTGCTGCATACAGTAAGTCCTCACTTAATGTTGTCAATAGGTTATTGGAAACTACAGCTTTTATCAAAATTATATATAGCAAAACCAGTTTTACCCTAGGCTAATTGATATAAACAAGAATTAAGTTCTTACAGCATATTTCTGGT